TGAATTCAACTAATTTATTACTCAATTATTCTAATTTTGAAATCAAAAGATACCTTATTGCTTACAGGGTATTAAGAAAAAACATTTCACTTTTTACATCGCATCGTTGTATTGTATTCTAAATTTGAGTAATTACACGTATGGGCGGGAGATTTTATTAAAGCTGTAACGTTTTATAATTTAATCGCGTAAGAACTTTTAATTCCAAAGGGTGCAACCAAGGAGCATTAACTTTATACGATTTAATCAGTATGAAGGTCAGTCGTTATAAAGCAAATTTTATTACTCTAGCAATTAAGATAATTTTTCGCGGATACCTTTTGTATGCAATGCATTATTTTACGAGTTAAAGATAAAGTTGTTAAATTTTAAAACAGCGCCAACAAAAATAAAAGTACAAAGACTACAAACAAGGCTTTGTTTTGATTTTGCAAATACCTTAAAGTGTACACAAATTTGGATGAATCCTTTTCAATTCTATTATTGGTTTAAATAATTGTTAAAGTTCTATAATTGTAAGTTTCAATAAAAATACAGCATTATTATTGTCCAATAACTATTAATATTAAAGACGCATAATCAATTCAGTTGTTCCGACATTAAAATAATAATATATAATTCTATAGATGACGGTTACCACAGTTAAACAAGTGAGCCGTTAATTTGTTTGCTATTCTAAGTTATATAAAAAAAAAAATTAACGTAATATGTGTAAAAACCATCATGATTAATCCACATATAAATACCACATATCATAATAGGAACTATATTTTGTGCAATACATTGCTATAAACTTTACTGATATTTTTTTTTCTAATAAACTAACGAGTACAGGAGCTGATAATAAATTAATAAACTGTACAATTAAAATGTCCTGACAGACGTTAACTTGGTATCAACATGTTAATAGTATAAGAGTCATTTTACTAAAAAAATTATCACTTTGAAAGTAGATAGTTACAAGAGAGAAGGCAATTCCAAAATTCATGAAACATCGTCCAAAACCTGTCCAAATATTTAAGTATATCATCCAATTATTAGGTAACAGTCGTTGATTATGTAAAAACGATATGTATATTAATAGATGTAACTAAATCAAGGTCAAAGTGAAATCATACTAATATCAACTCAAAAAGACCTAAAACTTTATAATGACAATGATTCTGTAATTATCAAATACAAATAACATTTACTATACTGTAAATACAATAATACTTGTCTTGTATTAATAGATGCTATACATAGAACATTTTAGTTTGTTAGAGTGTAATAAATCAAGATTGAGACCATAGCGATCAAAAGTGTTCCATGGACGACCGACTTCCAAAAAAGGCTAAATGCTCAGCAAATAGCAGAGAGCATTTAAGATAGATAGCCATACCAAGTGTATTAGTGTTTTACCAAGTGTGCGTGTGGTCCGGATATTTGTGGCACAAAAGGAAAATGTAGTATCGTTGACGTTGATTTTTTCTCTCTATCTATATATGTACTGACAAATTGCTATTTCATAAACTAACGGTAACATGTTAGTTAAAGTACTATAAAGGTTGATGTCGTAGCTAATTGAGTAATAAATGAAACCAGTATTAATTAAACGAGCAATAAAACAACTCCAAAATCTTTAAGGGCAATATACGAATATACATTTCAGATCTGTTAATGATAATTAAAAAAAATACAACAATATTTGACGTCATTTAAACAAATATAAATTCAGAACACATAAAATAATCCACAGTTTGTATTAGTGCATTATTTATATCACTTCATATGGCTGATGGTACTACTGAAATATTCAATGTTTCTCAGACAGTTAGAGTTTTTCTCGGAAGAATTTCTCAGAGTCGATTGACTGGAAGCTATACTAAGTCGGCACATGCAAATATGTCATTTGTACCTCCTAAATAAATCTCACGATGCAAAAACATAGTAGCAACACAACAAAATGGAATCAAGTGAGAAATTGCTCATGGTAAGTACGTTTTAGTTGAGATTTATTCACGACAAGCGATGTACAGTGACCTCAGTGGACAATTGGCGAAGCCGGGACAATTGGTCATTAATTGTGGCTGTTTATAAAAGTGGAACAGTCATGTTTTAACAACATGATATGTACATTACGATACGCGATTGAATGTAATCAATAAAACTGTAACAAAGCAGTTTGTCGTTTAAGACATGTGGAACGAATAAAAACTCGAAAGTAATTAGAAGTAGCTTTATATTATTAAAGAAAAAATATTTATACAGAGATAGCTTATTGTGCAACTACAAGTTTTGTTATATAATCACATCGGGTAGAAGAAAAAATAAAATAAAAAAGATGACATGTAAATTTAATATGTCAGGCTTTAACACAGTTCCCAAAATGATTGCTTAGATAACATAATAAGGTAGTACGTTTATAAAAATTTTAATTCTTTTTACATTTTATGAAATCGTATGTTCAAAAACATCATCCTAAAGACCTTTCGAAGCCCTTATCTTCTCTGCATTTTGTCTTTCTGTTTGTTTTCAGGAACACTTTTATAAGAAACCACGAAACCTATTTTTAATACTATAAACATATCTGGTGACCAATTATATCCTTCAAAAACACCCTAATAAGAAATGATAGACCACTAATATAACTAAAATAATATAGATAAATTAACAATTTTTAATAAAATAAAATAACAATTTTTAGAACCAAACATATACTGAGACGGAAATTGTTATGACACTAATGACCTAAACTGTATACTTGAAGTTATCGCAGTAACAAATCAAACAAAGGACAAAGCCTAACCCGTTAATGTTTTCAACGAACCTGCTCACTGCATCAAACAAACGTTTGGCGGAGCGGTATGTTTCATATTTTGCAGGTAAGTACTTTCATTTTAATGTGGCAAATAGAACAGGAAGGATGAAATAAGGATAGGAATATAAAGATGTATTGAACAAGGTGCTTCCAAATGATTTAACAGATTTAATTACGATATATTAACTATCTCAAATAAATGATACAGTTGTTATCTCAGATGTAATAGCCAGAAGTATTTTATCCTACTAATTATTACAAATGTAAAAGTTTATAAAGACGTTGCGTATGTTTTTTTGTTAAAAACCACAAATAATAGCAATTATTGATGGAATGTCATTGCACTGGTTGCTACAATGTAAACCGATACAATGTCATTCATCATCATACAAGTACATATGTATACAGACAATAAAATGTATTCAGTTGTTGCCATAATACTCGACTTGTTAACGTTAGGTGTATGCTGTCATCGGATAATTAGTCGAATACTACAAACTTGCAGCTCAGTCTTGTGAATTCGAAGCTACAATGTTCTTTATTAAATTTAAGGTAATAAAATTAATTTCGGTTCTACAAAACATTTTCGGCTTTAAACTTATATCTGAGACCCTAAGAATTCTAAATATTTGATTCTAGAATCTGCATTACGTAACAAAAGCAATCCTATTCAAATCACTTACTCTTATTTTCACACTAAGTATTATATATCTGCCACCTGTAATTTGATTCACGGTAACATCATTACATACGTATTTACGGTACCCTATGTAACGAAACATGCATACAAACTGTCAGTTCTCTTACAACTTTCCCTAAATATAGTTACTTTATACAAACAGCTCGTCTCTCTAAGCGAAACAGAATAAAATAACAGTGTTAGCATCAATATTCAAAACTCCCAACGTGGTCCCGAGCACAGAAATCGTGGTCGAATGCATCGAATACTAATATAGACATTGTCAATTTGTATTCAACTAGTTAGGCATAGACGAACACATCGTGCTGGGTACGAATGGAATTAAACTCCTGTTTTATCTAACATCTAAACCTATTTTCTGATGTTCATTAGCATGTTTAAAACTTGTGCTATTTTTTCAATAAAATACGCTTTTAAAACGCACTTTGTTTATAATTTGGAAATTATAATTGATTTGCTTATTATTGTTACTATTATTAATTATCTTCTTATTACAATAACTTCAGACGCAGAAGATCTTGATTGTAATTTTCTGAAAATACAGACAAGTACACTGAAACCTGATAGAATACACTTGAGTTCAATGACATGATCAACCTAAACTACTTTCTAATAATAAGTAAAATCTAAAATATGATTGTTTGTTACAATTTTTTAATCAACATAGCAACATAATAGTTTGATTACTCTTTATTATCCGAGTTTGCATTCAATTAGCGAGAGATTCAAATAAAACAAAGCATTTTTGTTTCTTCAAAACTAAGATAAAAACTACATATAGATATGCATTATATTTCTAATTCAAAGCTATTTTTTCTATACCGACAAAAGCAATTTCATTTAGTACTTTAAAATTTGATTGAATCCAATTGTAGGGAGGACGTTTTCGAGTAAAAGCAATATTTATTCCTAATTTTACAATGAAATCAATATTTTGTTCACTAATAACATTAATACTCACTACTGATCTAAAAGTATGTTAACTAACTACAATAGAAGTAAGCAATGCAAGTGTATTGAGCATTTGAAAGACGCACAATACTTATCCAGGTGTGAACGGATATCGTAAATTTAACGGATCTAAACTCCAAATCAAAAGTAAGATGAAAATTCAAATGAGCCTCATAAACTTCTAAGAAGCATATAATTTACTAATTCATTTAATATTATGCTTAAATGATAACATTATACGAGGGAAATATGATACGACGTCATAATGCAGCGGTCTCAAGTCGCACGTCGCCGTTTAACATCAACAAATGCGGTATAATTAAAAAACATTAAAAAATGCGATGCCTTGACTTCACTCCAGTTTTTAAGACGACTTGTTTCACAAGTCTACACTGTGAGAACCGAGATATAAACCGACCGGTTGTGCTATGGCGCCGTAACATACGAAGCTTCGTTACACACACCGCTTTTTCCCGCGACCGTTTTACCTGGCGAGCCGCGCTTTCATAAGCTCTGCCACTGTTTAAAAGTACGGAAACTATCACTCACCTTCGACACCATGGATCCTGGCGGCTAGTGTCGACACCAAAACAGCAAAGAAGAGCAATTTAATCCCATAATCCGGTATAAAGTCTCTCGACCACATTTTGTAGCACAATATTCACACATGGATCACACACATTTGTTTTACTTCTGCTGTCGTTTAACCACTGAATAATCAACACTCACGGAACTAAATGTAAGAACTGACACTTCATTTTGTTTTTGAGTTGTTGTTACGTCGAAAACAATCCGGAATTTGTCATTTTAGCGGTAAAACACGGTTTGAAAAAAACGTAAAGCCCGGTAGGAACATGCGCAGCCGCGTCCTGTTCGCATCTGACGGCTTTGTTCGTAAATACACAACGTACGGTAAATCAAAATGGCGGCCGGTGCGCTTGTGTGCGTGTACGCGGGTTGTAACTATACCTAACATACAATCTAAACTTTTATAAAGTTTTTAGGCACTACACATTGTTACATTTTATATGAACAATGATTATTTAAGTTATGAAAATGCTAGATTAGTGATAGAAAACCGTGAGAACATAATTACGCACACATACAGAGGTACGCGAAGGAATGTTGATTCAATGGAGAAATCAAGCAATTCAACACTTCTCTGCGCTCGCAGCCAATCGAGAGCTTTTAAACTTTGCTGTTTGCCATCCACATCACAGATGGCGTTATTCTCATTATTTATCAAATTAATAGAAGGGTAGTTTAAAGACTAGTTAACTATATTATATATCCTGATATAACAATAGTTAATTGAAACCGCGTAACGATTTATCGAAGAAGTAAATATAATAAAGTAAACTGATTGTCATTCACACTGATAATAGTTTGATCAATACTTAGGTTGCTATGGGCCGCTCTATCTTGATGTCGAGTTGAAGTTATAATTTAATATTAAGGCAATAATATTTAAACAATGGCTACTTGTTACCAAAAACATCCTTTTGAGATCGAGAAAGAAGATCGCCTCACTACTATAAACACTAAAATATTTGAGATTAAAAAGAAAATACAATTGTCGGGTACGTAAAATATATAAAATCAAATGTTTTATGTATTTTCTCTTTTATATGTGCTTGTGTTTACCTGAACTCAAGCTATGCACATAATGTAATTAGATTGTTTATTTTTTTATACAACTGAGAATGGTAAACAAGCTGACGGCCCACCTGATGGGAAGTGGTAACCGTTTACTATAGACATGAGCAGTACCATGGATATAACAGAGTATACTGTTTCGCCCATGATACCCCCCATGCATTGCCATTCCTGAGGACTCAGGTATTATTTCTCTGTACCCAGTAAATTCACGCCATATCCCACCCTTCAAACCGAAACACAGCCATTCAAACACAACTAACCTACCTGTATCACAAATGTAAATACTATTTAACTTTTTTATTATTTGGTTATAATATATTTTATGAGTCTAGTAAATAAATAAAAAAATGCAATTATATTATTAAATCAATCTATGCATTTTTAAATTATTTTATACATCTACATTATTTTGTATTCATTTGATAATCAAATCAAACATTGTCTGTCTACTGTTGAACATAAACCTCCCTCATTGGAGGGTTTTTCCAGTTTGACAAGCGAGTTAGCAACCGCAGTTAGGCTTTTGGTGATGTTTTAAGAGAGACACTGCCATCCATCCCTCAGGAGTAGGCCATTCTAGGCAGACCACACGGCAATTATATCTTGTATAAGTTAAGATTAATTATTTTAAATCACTTTTCATGGTTTAATTAATTTCGTGGTTTAATTCTTTTTATTTAAATAACTTTATTTACCAAAAGAGAATATGGTACGAAAGGCGGACTTAATGCTTGTAGTATTCTCTACCAGTCAACCTATGGAATGAACAGTGAATAACGAATACAGCACTTCACTATTGAGATAGGATATTTAATATACGTCCTAACATTAGGTACGTTTAGGTATACAGTAATATAATAATTATTTAAAAATTCATTATATATTTACAAATTTTTCACATTTTTCATAGTTCCCTAAAGATTTTTCCCAAATTTTTGATCAGAGAAAGAGTCATAATGCTGATTTGTGCGTCTGTTTATTTACTATTCCGACTTACCACCTAGTAGTTACATTATCACCTATCGTCCGTCACTGGTCTCCCGCCAGCGTATACCGATAGCGCAGACGGGGACACCATTCCATTATCACGAAACAAACAATAAACTACTTAATAAACTTGAACACTCTCATTTGAACACTCTTTTTATTATCATAAGGTCGATCTATGTTCGACTCCTATTCAAATACCTAATATTTTATTACCAAATCAAATTCTAAATTTGCAGAAGGACAAAGAAAGTCGTGTTACGAAGAGAACGAACAAGAGAAGCAACAAAATAATGACCTTATAGAAACGTTAAAGAAAGAAATAAAACTAAGATTAAATGAGTTGGCTCAAGCCAAAACGATTATTGGTGAAGAAGAGGTTCAAGTCAAGAAATACTTGAATGAAATATGTCCAACGGGGAACAAAAGCAGTGACCAAGTACCCAATACCAATCCTACTTCTTTTTGAAATCACTTAAAAATTATGAATTTTGGAACTAGTAGAACCAAAAATTTTGACATATCGTTTCTAATTGCTTACAAGAATGCACATAGACATATTTCTAATAAGAATATATTTTGATTTGAACATTTCGAAATAGTTCATATAATCTAGATTATAACTTTTAGTTAAAAAACTACGAACATTACTAGATTAATTAAATTATAAATAGATATTATATTAAATAAATATATTAAATAAAATAATAGTAATAAAATATATATTATAGATATTATATTAAATAAAAATAAAGAATAAAAGCAAATCAGGGAGAATAAATACGTAGATATAGATACACTTAATAACATCAGAGTAATTAATATCTTATACCAATATATACCAGTACATGGGACTACAATGGATTAAGTAACTATAGATATAGTTAAAAACACGCAATAACTTCATAGTTAAATATTTCCAAATAATCTATAATCTTAGACTTAAAAGTTGTATTACTTTTACAAAGGTAAATTATAGTAATCTAGTATACATAAAAGAGAATGATTGATTGACTGGCCCATATATCTACGCACAGTCGAAACTGTTGAATCGAAAATATATAAAATTTTGCAGATAGATTCTTTATTTAGCGTATGTAAACAATAAAAAAAGGAATTTTGAATATTCAACCCCTAATGGAGTAAATCGTCGAAAATCCACGCGTACGAAATCGTAAAGATATAGTAAGATATACCCAATAACTTTAAAATTTAATAAACATATCAGCTTTTAACTGTCCACTGCTGAGCAGAAGCCTCCTTCTTGGTGGATTTTGCCAGTAATTACCACGCTTGACAGGCGGATTGGCAACCGCAGTTAGGCTTTGGAGATGCTTTAAGAGGGACGCTACTGCCCATCCCTCACCTTCCCTCTTACGATACCACATAAAAGAAAGGGGTGACCTATTCTATGCCGGGACCACAAGGCCATTATAATTTAATAATTCCAGATAATTCACAACCTGGACTTGAAAGTAATAGAACAGCGAAAATTACTAGATCTATTGAAATACGAAAAGCGAAACAAGAAGAACAAACTGCGACAGTTCGAGAAGGACTACGAACATCTACTTATAGAAAGCACAAAGAGCGAACTGGTCAAATCAAAAACTAGCACCAGAGCTAGAAAGGTATTAAATTAAATTGTTTATTTAAATAATAAATAGGGCTTCGATGCACTCAACCATTCTTTGGAATCAACTTCCAGCAGTAATATTTCCAAATCGATATGACATTATAACCTTTAAGAACAGAGCATATTCCTTTATAAAAGCCCGGCAGTACACCTGCAATGCCTCTGATGTTGTGAGTGATCATAGGCTGCGGTAGTCACTTACCATTCTTTAAGTCGAGGTTTTCTCTACCTAAAGACTAGAGGCACTTTTTCCATGCACAACCAATTGGAATCAACTTATAGCGGCAATATTTCCGAACCGATACGACATCATAACCTTCAAGAAAAGAGTATATTCCTTTTTAAAAGGCCATCAGCACACCTACAATGCCTCTGGTGTTGCGGGTGATCATGGGCGGCGGTAGTCATTTACCATCAGGTGAACCGCGTGCTCGTTTGCCTCCTGTGTTATAAAAAAAATACAGCATGGAGTTCTTCAAAAAGAGCATTTTAACGTTTCTTCAGGGTCGGCAACGCGAGTGAGTTACCCCTAGTGTAGAGGGGAAAGGGATTATTAGTAATGCGGACTACCAGTCCCATTACTAGCAATATACTCTGTCAGGTCGACTTCCACGTGGACCACTCTGGAAACCATCGTGTTGAATTCTAAGTGTATTTATCACGATGGGCTGACCTGCCTTTTCATTCTCACCTGTCACCCCTCACTGGTGCCACGCTAGCGTATACCGTTAGCGCAGGCGAAGTTGTCATACCATTATCATCCATAATAAAAACACCCCTACTGTTACAGCGTCCATAGGCTACGGTAACCAATTACAATCAGACGAGCCGTACCCTTTTTTGCTACTACTTTAGTTTAAAAAATATGTATACACATAGATGCTGACTGTAATATAAATTTCTTTTACTTATTTTTTTATTTTTCTAGCATATGTCCCATTTAGAGAATGAAATCCACAAAGTGATAATTCAGTGGACCGAAGCGGAATTGGTTAAAAAAAAATATTTCACCATTAGGTAAATATATAACATATTTATTTATTTTACACTTTATTGCACCAAGTAAAAAGTGAAATAACAAATATAGTAAATATTAATGAGAAGTGATACAAAAGGCGGCCTTATCGCTAAGCAATCTCTTCCAGACAACCTTTGAGTAGAGGACATTGAGAAAAAGACAAAGGGTAGGTGGCGAACTATTATATAAATACTAGCTGACCCCGTAAACGTTGTTTTACCACTTACTGCGAAATATAAAAATCGCGATTAAAATACAGGGGTTGATCATAAAACGATGAAAATTTAAAGTTGTATGTATTTTTCAATGCTAAATTATAATAAAATAAAAATAAAAAAAATTGTCAAAAAAAAAAATTTTGGTGTGGGTCACCCTTATCATTGACGGGTATGAAAAATAGATGTTGGCCGATTCTCAAACCTACCCAATATGCACACAAAATTTCATAAATATCGGTAAAGCCGTTTCGGAGGAGTTTGGTAACAAATACCTTGACACGAGAATTTTATATATTAGATTATCATATACAAACATATATACATACATACATACATACACATATATAATATATACACAATTAAATATATACATAACATACATATACTTAACAGCACACATATAACAGAAAAAAAATGACGAAGGAAAACAAAGAGAGAACACAGGAAAATAGTACTAAAGTGAGAGGTAATAGGATTTAACAGAGGTTATGAAGCTATATAAATATATATAGAAAAATGTAGAATAGATCTCATTACATAACGGACCTCATAAATAACCACATTTTTCACAATTTGAAAAAGAAAAGTAAAATAAATATGCTCACGACTATAATTCCTAGTAAGTAGTATATTTTGGTTTATCTACCGTCTTCAAAAAAGCACGTTCTTAATGCGGTTGTTTTATTTTTTTGTTTGTTACGTCGTAACTTCCTAATTTACAAACCGTTTTGAAAAATTCTTTTATTATCAGAAAGGACATACTTTCAGATTGGTTCCATAGAATTTTTATCAAAATGGGTTCAATAATTGATATTTTAAATCAAAATTATTATGCCACGATTAATTTTTTTTTTTTGTAGCAAAAATCCTAACTTATTTACTAAACATAACACTCGATATATGCATATTATACTGAGCCCATAAAAACAAAAATATTTCAAGTTTAAAAATTATTTAAATATCATTTAATCGCTAAATCTTGAGCAGTGAAATGGAGTGCTTAATAGAAAACGAGAAATTTCTTTTAAACCGACTTCAAAAAGAAGGAGCTTTTCAATTTTGTAATTTTTTTTATTATATTTGTTACCTCAAAACTCCATCAGTCTCTTACAGAGGCATAACACCTTAGTCCTCAGGAATGGCAACGCATGCGCAGTATGATGAGCGACAAAGTTTATTCTATTATGTCTATGGTACTGTACATGTGTAAAGGCAACGGTAACCACTTACCACCAGGTGGCGATGTCATATACTCTGTTATCCTCATGGTACTCCTCATATCTATAGGCGAAGGTTACCACTTTCCATCAGGTTGACCATTAGCTTGTTCGCAATTCTAAATTGCATAAAAATATAAATAAAAAACGTCTAAACAGTGTTGTATTTTGTTCTCATTAATTAATCTTATTTCAATTAATTACTACGTGGTGAAACATTATCTACAGACTTTTTGCTAGGATCAGCCATGCCATGCCACTCATTTATCATACCGCCCAGGAGCTGCATTGTAAGCATTATGTCCTCACTGTAACAACACTGGGTGGTGTGGAGTGCATATAGTAGATTGTGCATATACTCGTCGTAATATGAATCAAAACAAAGTAGAGAGTTAGAATCAATAAAAAATATCAATATATCAGCCGTTAAGTGTTCTTGGAGGTTTTGCCAGTAGTTGCCACGCTTGGCAGTTGGTTTGGCAACCATAGTTAGCCTTCGGTGATGTTTTAAGAGGGCTGCTGTCTATTCCTTCACTATTAAGTTCCTGTAGTCGCCTCTTACGACATCCGTGGAAGAGGAAGGGGTAGTCCATTCTGTGAGGGACCACACGGCTAAACACACAATGTACTAATGTATAATACAATACATTTACAGGCAAGCCCTGATAGATGACTCAGTGAAGTTCGAAAGTTCACTCACTCGAATCGAAGAAGCGCTAAACAAACAAAAGGAAGAAATTGCAAAGTTGGAAGTTGGTATTTTTAATAATATATATCTGTCATCCCACGTTCATCCACTGTTGGACGTGGGCCTGATTTTCATCTTGAAATTAAAACTCGCATCTGGCACTGCCACTCTAATACGAGACCATGGAGGGAAGGAATCGTTTCTAATGGAGAGATTAGTCCACATTGCTATCAATATACTCTATCAGGTCGACCTCCACGCGATCCACCCTGGAAACTATCGTGACTAATTTACTAATACGCCACAATGGGCTAACTGACCTGCCTTTTCATTCTCGCCTGTCAGTACTCACTAATGCCCCACCAATGTATGCCGATAGCGCAGGCAGGGTTACCATTTTATGATCATCCATTAAAAAAAAATACGTAACCACCAGGGGAAAGAAATTGTTAGTGATGGAGTCCAAAATCCTCACTGCTAACAATGTACCCTATGTTATCTATATTATTAGGTCAAAGGTCAGAAAATCATCGCGGTTAATTCTTTTTGAATTCGTCATGACGGACCAACTGATCTGCTTTCATCCTATCATCACTCACTAATTACACTCACCAGAGGGAGACTTTGTACAAAAGTCGATTGCTTGGGTACCTCTGTCCCATTCGTGTTTCAACCGTGAAGCAGTTGTGTTTGCATGGCTGTGTTTCGGTTTGAAGGGTGGGATATGGCGTGAACTTACTAAGTACGGAGGAATAACACCTGAGTCCTCAGGAATGGCAACGCATAGGGGGTATCATGGGCGAAACAGTATATTCTGTTATATCCATGGTACTGCTCATGTCTATAGGCGACGGTTACCACTTTGCATCAGGTGGGCCGTCAGCTTGTTTGCCATTCTAAGTTGTATAAAAAAAACCGACAGGAATAAGTTTAAAGGGAAAGTAAAAAATGGAAATACAGTTTGTATTGTACTCGGCCTTTACAAATCAATTTATAAATCGGTGCTTACTTATTCATTGTCGAAAATCGATACTATTATATTCATTAATAAAAATTAAATAACAAATTTTGAGGTCTACAGAAGTATCAGGTTTATAATAGAGACATGATATTAACAGAAAATTCGGGAAGATGCCGCCGAGATGCGCATACGAGCGACAGCGGCGACTAGTGTGGAGGCTGCGCGTGCGCAGGACGCTGAGCACGAGCGCGAGGCGGAGAGGGCGTACTTCGCGCAGCGGTTCGCCGAGAGGAAAAGGGAGTTAGAGAGATTGGAGAAGAGGATTTTTCCACCTCAAGGTGAATAAAGAAAAATATATTCAATTACTATATAAAAATCTTTCTCGTGAGATCAATATTCACTACACGTAACATAATCTTTATATTAAACACTAGCTTTTGCCCGCGACTTCGTACGCGTGGATTTTAGGTTTGTCCTCTTAGGATTTTAAATTATTTTTTTTTTAATTCCTTTCTTATTGTTCACGTAAATTTGCAAAATTTCAAGATTCGATTTACGAGTAGATTAGATATAATGGGGCTGACATATTCTTATAGGATAAAAAAGCCTATAGAATAATTTTTTAAACCATTTTTATTTAGATTCAGCTGTTTCGGCTGACATTGATATATGGGTCAGTCTATCAATCAGCATCCTCTTTTATATATAGAGATTTATAATAGTAACTGACCATTCAACAGCGCGAGTGGTGCGACAAGAGTCGGTTGGATCAACAGACGGCGAGGTGGTCACAGAGGAGGCTACAGCGGCCGCACAAATGGAAGCTGTATTCCAGAGGCTTATGAAACTTACCGGCAAGTGTTTATTTAACCTTTCAACCGACTTCAAAAAAGGAGGTTCTCAATTTAGTTGTTTCTTTTTTATGTTTTATCGTCAGTTGTAACCAATTTTGATGTTTTTTTTATTTGAAAGGATATTGATGGTTCTATTAAAGTTTTATCAAAATCGGTTCAGTAGTTTTTAGATCAAAATAACTGGTTTTGTCATAAGTTGATTTTTTTGTGAGACACTATCATTAATTATCCATATATTTTGCCTAACATTTGATACTATTACTTAGTTGCACCGACAAGAGGAAACTCTTAAATGAAAAGAAGATTACCAGACGTAACGATAAAAAATTCGTTTATTATAATAATTATTTTCTGTTTGATTTTATAAAATTATTTAATTTAATACACTTTACTTTTAAAACAAATACTAAAAAAAAACCATGCGCGTAAATGTTGCAAAGAGAAGAATATTTACAGTTAAAAATTAGTCGACCACTGTTTCTGATAACATAATTAAAAATTGTGTTCCACATAAAAAAAAAAACAAATTCAAATGTGATAAAACCAATTATTTTGATTTCGAAAGTAAATAACTTGTATTGAATCAATCTGTAAGTATATACTTTTAAATCGATTTCAAATCGGTTTAGGTCCGACTGAATTACGAGGTAATAAACATAAAAAAAAACCTTATTGAAGTCCGTTGAAAAACATGTTCTTTTTTTTATATAACTTGGAATGGCAAACAAGCTGACAGCCCACCTGATGGAAAGTGGTGACCGTCGCCTATAGACATGAGCAGTGCCATGGACATAACAGAGTATACTGTTTCCCCCATGATACCCCCCATGCGTTGCCATTCTTGAGGACTCAGATGTTATTCCTCTGTACTCTGTAAGTTCACGCCATATCCCGCCCTGCAAACCGAAACACAGCCATGCAAACACAACTGCTTTGCAGTTGAGACACGAATGGGACAGAGGTACTCAAGCAAACGACTTTCGTACAAAGTCTCCCTCTGGTCACATCATTGCTGCCTATACAGGTGTCAACGAAGCCGAGGAAGTCTTTGAGAGATTCCAAGCGCAGCGCGAAACATGCAAACGCCTAAACTATCTACAGCAGACCACCGAAGAGGAAAAACTTGAGTTGGAAAGCGCTCAAACATCACTCTTGACTGAATTAGAGGCGTTCAAGTTTGCATCTGTCAAGGATAAGGATGAGTAAGTAAATTGTTTGTCTATCATCATGAGATTAGACGTTAACTGTCCACTGCTGACCATAGGCCTCTCCAATAACTTTTGCTGGGGGAAAGGGATTGTTAGTAATGGAGACTAAGAATCCCATTGCTAGCAATATACCCAACCAGGTCGACCTCCTCGCGGTTCTCCCTGGAAACTATCATATTATTTCCTGATGAATTGATTATGATGGGCTAACTGGCCTGTTTTCATTCTCATCAATCACCCTTTACTGGCGCTCCGCCAGCGTATCCCGTTAACGCAGGCGGGGTTACCATTCCATTTTCACCCAAAAAAAAAAAAATCACTTTTGCTTAGCAGACGGTTTAGCAAAGGGCAGTTAGTTAGTTTTGGAGATGTTTAAAAGAGGCTGCTGTTATCCCTCGATCTTTAGGTTCCTTAGTCGCCTCTTACGACACCCACTGGAACGGAAGAGGTAAGACTTTACGGTAAGGCACTTTCTTCCACGCACCACCATTCTTTGGAATCAACTTCCAGCAGCAGTATTTCCGAACCGATACGACAACATAACCTTCAAGAAAAGAGTATATTCCTTTTTAAAAGGCCGGCAGCACACCTGCAATGCCGCTGGTGTTACGGATGATCATGGGCGGCGGTAGTCACTTACCATCAGGCGAGCCGCATGCTCGTTTGCACCCTGCGTTGTAAAAAAAAAGACTTATTCTATGCCGGGATTACTCGGCGATTTATTTGTCTATACTAATATTATTAAGCAGAAAGATCTATGTCATTCTTTGAGGGGTTTTTAGAGTTTTACATTCATTCATTCATTCAAGGATTTGATTTTTATGTATTTATATGTTTGTTTGAAATGGATAAATTTAAAAAACTACTCGATAGATTTTAATAATTCTTTCACTTATAGAATGCTATATTATCAAGGAAGAACTTACGAACTTAATATAAATATAAATGTTAAAGTGAGTTCGTTTATGACCTTATTGCGACTTAACCAATCAATATGAAATTTGGTATACACGTACTGTATAAAATGGAGAAGGAATTAGACTGCTTTTTATTCCGGTAACACGGACAAAGTCACGGGTAAAAACTAGTATGCCTATATGTCTACCCGTGCGTCGCCGGGATGGGCCGCTAGTTAATAATAAAATTAACACTATAAGTAATCGCTAAATAAAAAATAAATGACCCCAGTTGTTTAAACAACTGTACATCTTTGTTTCAGAGGACAAGAACAAATAGGTGAATTAAAAGAAGAAATAATAAGAGAAGACGAAAAATACGCAGAAATAGAGAAACAAAATGACGATATTAATACGTTATTATTGGAGATAAAACGGTTACTCTATGATTTGTGCAAAATTCTGGATGTAAGCTCATTGTTAATCTTTCTTATATTTTTATGAGATTGTAAATATTTTGATATATGGTACACTAATATCACGGTGAAAAAGTACTATATCTATATAGTACTAAAAATCCTAATAAATCTTCAAGCATTACTGACTGTATTATACTTTATATATTTGTAAAAGGAAAACCAAGTCGTATTTACATAAAAAATAAGTACAAGATAACAACAATGAAGTCGCTTATAGATTTTTAACAAAAACGCAATATACAAAATTTGACAGTGGTTGCCTCAGATAAATAAATAACTCTAAGAGTGAAGAGAAGTTTAGTAAGAGAGAGATAGGATTATTTTTCTCAGGCACCCACACACGTGAAGCAAACATATAATATAGTAAACAATATAATATAAAACAAAAGTTCTTCAATATAAAACAGATCATTTCTAGTAAAAAAAATTGCCTATTCAGTATATTCCTTGCTATGGATATTTTACTATGAATTACTTCTTCTTTTATACAACTTAGAATGGCAAACAAGCTGACGGCCCACCTGGTGGAAAGTGGCAACCGTCGCCTATAGACATGAGCAGTACCATGGACATAACCGAGTATATTGTTTCGCTCATGATACCCCCCATGCGTTGCCATTCCTGAGGACTCGGATGTTATTCCTCTGTACCCAGTAAATTCACTGCTATATCCCACCCTTCAAACCGAAACACAGGCATGCAAACACAACTGCTTCACAAATACTTCCTCTTAGTAATCTTTTAATTTAATATTTTGTTCCTCTCCTAGTATGTAAATTAACAGAAAACTAACACAGATTAAATTTTATTTATTACTAAAAGAATCATCAAAAACTGTTCAGAATAACGCAAATAGAGCGTTACAGGTAAAAAGTCATTTAATTAAGAAGTCCTACCTTATGAAATAAAACGTTTTCTAGGTTGTCCCAGATCCAGTACTACCCGAATGGACAGCAGAAGCCAGAGACGTACAGGAACTAGTCTCAGTGCTGGCCATCCGTTATGAAAAGGCCAAGATACGAGCAGAGGAAATTCGTAATAAACAGGGAGACACGACTATTATAGCGGTGCCGTCAAATGTAAGGTTATTTTATAATACATAATTTAAAAATAAGTGCTTACAAACATTTAAAAGGCCAGCAACGCACTAGCAACTCTTCTCGTGTTGTAAGTGTTTATGGGCGATGGTATCCACGTATTATCAGATGGGCCGTCTGCTCGTTTGCCTCCTTAACAATAAAAAAAATAACACGACATGTGACTACACCAGTCTAATATATACCAGTCAATATAGTTCATGAATGCAATAAATGTAAATATAAATAATAGATATAATATTAAAATAAAAATAAATAAAATCGAAAAGACAATCTTCTATCACTAAGTCCTTTTTCATGCTACATTTGAAGGATCCAAGGCCATCTATTTAAACTAATTCTAAGTATATTCCCATACAAAATTACATATTTTTAACTTTTAAAATTTTCGACTTAAATTTAGGGTTTAACATTTTTTTTCTTTTAAACCACCCCTGTATAATGAACGAAGTAAAATATGGGGTGGACCAAACCATCAAAGCCTAACTGTGGTTGCCAACCCGCTACCTAGCGTGGCAACTACTGGCAAAACTCCCATTATAGGAGAAACCTATGTACAGCAGTGGATTAACAGCTGATAGGAATATCTTAAGTGTTAATTTGTAGAAATATTTACGACATGATTCCAGCCTGCAAGTCGGCCCTCATCAGTAGCTGGTGGAAGCGTCCAGAGCCACAGCACACACAAAGAATCTGAGCGGGTTACAGCAGTACCTACGTACAAGGAACTCGTCCAAAAAGAACCGGTCAAAGGAGGACGTAAGATGTCACACAATTTGACACGCAAATATTTATAAATGCCGTGTCGGGGGAAAGGGATTATTAGCAGTAGAGTTTGACAGCCCATTGCTAGCCATATGCCCCATTAGGTCAACCTCCACATGGTTACCCCTGGAAACCATCGTGAACAATTCTTTTTAAATTCGTCACAAAGGGCTAACTGACCTGCTTCATACTCACCTATCATCCTTTACTGGTGCCCCGCCGGTGTATACCGATAACGCAGGTGGGGTTACCATTCCATTATCACTCTTAAAAAAATGCCGTGTGGTCCCAGCAAAAAATCGGCCATGCCTTTCTTTACAGAGGGTGTCGTAAGAGGCGACTAAGGGAATTTAATGGTCGAGGAATGTCCCTCTTAAAACATCACCAAAGTCTAAGGTTGACAACCCACCAAGCGAGAAAAATACTGACAAAACCCAATAAAGGATGATTCGTGTTCAACAGTGACCAGTTATGATGATGATGATATGATGATGATGCTTACAAATATGAATATAAATATTTATTTGCTTGTTTGTTTGTTATACTGTTGGAGGTTGCTAGTAGTAAAGTCTGGCAGTCCCATTGCTAGCAATATACCCTGTCGGTCAGGTCGAACTTCACGCAGTCACCCCTCCATAACCTCTTTGTTAATTTATGGTGAATTCGTCATGATGACCCAACTGGCGTGCTTTCATCCTTGCCTAACATCATTGACTGGTACCCCATCATTATACCATCAGCTAAGGTTGCCATTTCATTTTCACCCATTACAAAAAAAAATATGTGACGGTGAATATTCTTATAAATTAAGGATAGATGGATGTGTGTTAATGACCTGACATCATCCTTGACTATCAGCACTCACTGGTAACCTACCATCGTATACCACTAACGCATACTGTGTTACCATTTAATTTTCATTCATGAAAGATTCTTTGTAAACTTTAAAGTAATCGGTAATGGTGAAAATTAATTTCTTTTTGTCTACAGCATCTGATGAAGAAGAAGACATACCATCCAGGTGTTACCTGAAGCGACAGGCGCAGCTGATAGTCGATACCAAGTGTAGAAGGAAAGGGTTCAGGGCCTTCCCGAGGAAGTGAACATCACAAAAAAAACAAATCTCACACAAACAATGTCCCAAATAAAAAATAAAAAAAATTATATAGTTTACTTTATAACCCATAATGGATTATGCCATGCCTCAGCATAAAATAGACACCCACGGAAAATGAAGGGGTGGCCTATTCTATGCCCGGAAAACTATACTTACCGACTGTAAATGTCCAGAGGATATTCGACTATTGCCGTTTTGGAGAACACTGCATGCCTACATTTCGCCAGGCATATTTGAGTCCAACATAGCAAGGGATGAGTCTATCACCATCTGTTGGATTTATTTGATTTGTAATAATGTTTTTCGTAACGGAACGGAACTAGATGGTGTCGCTAGGTTTAAACATTTCGAACCCCCAACCTTTGTAGTTTAATAGAAACAGTTATACCACTTGACTGCATTACTCTCATACCTCGAATAAATACCATAAATATATAAAAAAAATATTGTATATTTATAAAAATCTCAAAAAACAATTCGTAACAAAACATCACCAAAATTTTGTATAATATGAACTTGACCAATCATTACAAATAACTATGGCGGACCTAACGGCAACGGCGACGCCTTATGCGGCGGCGGCGGCAGCTACGGCGGCGGCGGCGGCGACTGGAGCTACGGCGGCGGCGACGACTGGAGCTGCGGCGGCGACGACGTCTGCAACTGCGGTGGCGGCGTCTGGGGCGCCGGCATGAGCGGCGTCTACGGCGCTTGCGCCGGCGGCAACCACGGTCGACCGGCTCGCACGAATGCAAGCGAGAGAACGACCTACGCGGCCCACCGTCACCTAGTTGTTCGGTGTTCTCAGCTGCCTTCTCTTTCCTCTCGCCTTCTATCTTCTTCCTGCTGCCAGAAGCCCCTCTCTTCTCATAGTGAACGGCATGCTCGGAGTGGCGCCGCGCGGCCGCTGCCCGTCGCCGCTTCTGCTGCAGCGTAACATACGTCTTCAAGCGAGCAGCATAACGAGGCGCCTCGTTCTCGCTCCGCTTCCCCAGAAACACCACTACGTCATCGTTGATCTTTTTCTTCTTGTCCTCATCGGTCTCCATACCGTTGCTGCCTGCGCTCACCATTCGTTCATTGCCGTCAACGAAAACAGAAAATTTTGTATTATAAAAAAATATATCAAAAAACTGCTCTGGACATATCAAGAATTTCTTTGTTTCTGCAGTGTGAAAAGAAAATCTGTCAGCTCTGTGAATATTCTAACGGCCAGTATCAAAATTAATTTCAAACGTTGAAAAAATAATTTACTCTTTTTAAAGCAAATATATGTACCTCATTCATAATAATTCGCAGACTCTATCTATGGTCCTAAGAAAAAAGAAAAAGTACTATTTATTCTAATATCTTAATAAAAAAAAAATTGTGTCAAAAATCATATCAAACCAATATACCTAGTTATTTGGAACAATTATATATTTTTATTTACTTACAAAGCTCTACATGTAATCATGTTTTGTCCTCATAAAAATTCTTACCTCCAACTTGTATGCGCTGTGAATCCGCGAATAATTAACAAGGCTGTTGATCAAGCTATGCAGAGAGAACATTTCGATCCTCATACAGGTACGTAATTCACTAAAAATTTCACCTTGATTATTTTTTTAAAGTAAGCACACCTCGGACGGTGGTTAACAATGAAGTCCAAATATAAGAGTCACCATCACAGCAATTTGTTCCATGTTAGCGACCGTCATCTTGACAGTCTGCCGATGTATTCTCTCAAACCCCGTTTAAAAGCCGCATCACACTTTTTAACGATCTATCGATCTATCCATCAATCGATCTCACGATCTATCGATCTATCCATCTATCGATCTATCGAAATATCGATCTATCTATCTATCTGTCAATCTATCTATCGTTCTATCGATCTATCCATCTATCGATCTATCGATCTATCCATCTATTGATCTATCCATCTATCCATCTATCGATCTATCTATCTATCTAGTTATTTATTTATTTATTCACAATTTTGTTTGTTGTATTTACATTATTTTCACCGGTACCATTCCTGCACTGGATTACCCAAATTATTTTCTCTCTACATACACTGGGTTGGCTGGAAGAGATCTCTTTCAGAGATAAGCCCTCCCTTGCTAGCAAGTTGTTAAACTAATCGTCGCATGTATTGTTTAAGTGCAATAAAGAATATATATGCGTTGCCATTTCTGAGAACTCGGGTGTTATTCCTCTGTACTCTGTAAATTCACTGCCATATCTCACCTTTCAAACCGAAACACAGTCATGCAAACACAGCTGCTTCACGGTAGAAACACGAATGGGACAGAGGTGGCGAAGCTAACGACTTTTGTAGTCTCTCTCTGATAAAAAAAGGTACAATAAAGGGGATTCTATTGAAATAGTAGTTGTTTATAGAGTTACCGCCAGCTCAACGATTAGAATCTATGCAACCATCTCTATACGCCCCACATGTGGACATAACGAGGGCTCAACTCGGCTTTGGACGGATTGGACTCAGACTTATAAACCGAGCTTTACATTCACATGATAACTTGGTGCAGTTACAAGCATTGCATAGTGTGCTCGACCAGGTATATATTTTTAATTTACATTTATTAAGATTTTTTCCATATAGGCGAAAGAACCAAAATACCATTTATTATATCACGAGGAAATAAAAACATCGCTACAAAAAAACATCCTAAAATCATTAACAGGAATTAGCTGCAAATTTAAAAAAAAAAGGTGAACACGAAAGATCAGGGAAAGATCGCAGTGTCACAGGATTTTTCTGCCTGAAAAAGCTCGTCTTTCAATAATAATAATAACCCCATTTATTAACTTATAGTACATTACTAGCTGATCCCGTAAACGTTGTTTTACCACTTATAAAAATCGCTAGATCCACTAATTTGATCCTAAAGAACTTACCCAGTCCTTAGCCTTATAATTTACTTTAGACTTTGTGCTATCAAGGATCACTAGTTAAGATTTAGTAAACGAAGATGCAATGCTTTCGCAGGTACAAATATCAGAAAACGCAATGTTTCTTATCAACTTGCAGCTTGTATACCGTTTAATTGATCTGATGCTAGACCAAGATCCGATCATTAAGAAAAAGGTTTGTCTGATACTCAGCCGTCTGGCGACATACTACCAGGGTCGAAGGCGCATCATGTCCAGACCAGTCATTGTTGAGAACCTAATGAGACTTATCATGAGAGACCGGAAAGAAATACGGTACGCGGCATCCTATACGTTGAAGACTTTAGCGAGAGACAGGTGCGCGTGCGAGGTAATAATGCAAAATGAACAAGTCGTTGAGGATCTTTTGAAAATGGTGAAGAGTGATCATACCGGAATTGTTGTTTTACATCTGGCTACACTGACCAATCTCGCTGAATGGGACCCGACTAGGGCATTGAAAGCCAACGCTTTTCAGATCATGCTAACACTGTTCGAGAATAAGGATCCGAGGATAGTAAGCGGTGCTATGGACTGCATGTCACAGCTGTGTAAACACGACGTTGGCAAAGTTCTAGCAGATGATTACGACTTGACATTTGTTTTGAGACGGTTCCTAAAGTCTTCTCAAATCGAGGTGATAATTAGCGCAACTGGTCTTATGTGCTACACAACGTTGACTACGCGCTCCAAATGGCGAGCTAAAGAATCCTGCAACGAGTTGACTAAACTCTTAGTTAATTTATGCTGCACCCCAAACTTACCCCTGTTGCAAATTAGATGTATGCAAGTGTTGATAAATCTCTGCGACTCCCCAGATATCAGGCATCACATGAAAGTCTATTGGGAGAAGAAGGTCAAGACGATAAATGTAAGGACCCACGAGGAGTGGGATGGGACGTCGGAAACGTCCAGTTATGGGTTAGAAACTGCCCACAACTACAGGACGATGTGCATAGAAAAGGTCGAGACCATAAAAAATGACTTTGGTGATAACGCCCAGGTTGTGAATGTGCATAGCTATTTGAGAAGAATACGAGAGGTAAAAGAACATTTGCTGCAAGCAATCAATTGGAAATCTTACAAAAATTAAAAAATAACCCTTAAAATATAACTCACAGAGTTGAAAATTTGTTAACATTAATATTTCTAATAACCAATCGGTTATCCAATATTATTTGTATTTGGAATATTTTAAATCAAACAACTGTAAATATTTATTTATTTAATTGTTTAAAATTTTTAAAACAAAAATACATTTATAAGTCACTAGTTGAGCTACATTTGGTTTCATTAAATACACTTTTGTGCCTTCTATGGCGGAGTTAAAGCTATTCATGCAAATTTCAATTGAATATCTACAAAATGATATAATACTAAAGCTCGCGCATAGAGATGAGGCAAACGAAAACAGATATTCATCGATATACAAAAAACACAAGATTCGCATAACTATACAAAATTTTTGGATTAAAAGCACGAAACACGATGAGTAAACCTTAAGTATATTTTTACAAAATATATAAAAAAAATGTTTCGTAATTTTCAATACAATAAATATCACTAATAAGACAGAAATGAATGCAAAATATGATTAAATATGTTGTATTTTGAGTGCCACTTTTTAATCCCTAGTTTTATGCTATATCTTGGGTTATTTGTATATCGATGTAAGTTTTATTCGATAATCCAAAACGTAAGCTACTCCTGTTCAGTTTAATTCGCGATACTTAATACATATCTACTATACATTCTAATACAATTTTGCCGATTAATTTCAATACATTGAATTTAAATTCCATTACGTTAGTTGCATTGTTAGTATTATTAATAAGTATACGACCTAATGTGTGCATCATAATTATATATATATATATATATATATATATATAATTTAATAAGTACAGATAACAATAATATATTAATAGAATAAATTATTGCAAAATATACTAAAATACCGTCATCATTAAATAAAGATTTGTGAGTTTTGTATAAACTGACGGAATCATGTTTATTTGTGCGAAATAGGGGTGAGTAATATATAGCAATATCTATATATTTTAGTTATATATATATATATATATATATATATATATATATATATATATATATATATATATATATATATATATATTGGCCAATGAACGATATGTTAAATATCAGTTGTCCAATATATAATATCGAAATTAAGCACCCGATTGAAATTAATGGAGATGTCCGATGTCCGACTGGTATAGGTGGGCCTTTATTCCGCCATCAATTTTCTGAGGAACTCAATATATAGATATCGGAGCGATACTGATATTACCCATGTGTAAGGCGAAAGATACTATAATATAAAGCACATAAAGTTGAGAATGCACTACAACGAAACTTGTTATACCTCTGTGAGAATCTACTTCTCATTATTTCTCTCGAGTATTACATTGTACGACAGTCAAATTACTTCACAGAGAGCTATGACTACCAAATACTTATAACCTCACTACTTCTAGTGGCAGTATTTATAAAATATTCATTATTTCAGTTCAAATATAGAAAATTTACAAAAATCGTTAATCCTCGTAATTTTTAAAAATCATATAGTTTAACACCTAAGTAAAATCGCTATCATTAGAATTTATTTAAAAAAATAAGTGTTCTACTAGTGAATCTGAATATTTTCAATTAAGAAACTTGTAAAAAACGTCCAAAAACTTCCTAGTTACTACTGGCAGCCACACATTTTACATCTTTTTTACATTTCTTAAAAAAAAAAGTATAAAATATTTGGTTGCCAGTGTGTCAGGAATAGTGTGGAGGGTTATTTTTAGGGAGATTTTCGATTCCAACTTTAGGAAAATCAAATAAGCATGGGTCGAAAATCCTATTTAGTTTCACTAACAGAGCACCCTCTGAATAAGATACTAATGATTTCTATTACATCCTGTAGACTATTGTTTTAATATAACGGCAAGGCTGACACATTCTTAAAGGCTATCATCGTAAATTAGATACATAAAATAAACAAAAAAAAAGCATTTAAAATAAAAATAACTAATTAATGTTTAATAAAAAATAACTAGTTACTATTGAATAAATAACCAGTTACTATTTAATAAAAATAACTAGTTAATAAATAACAAAGAACTATAAAGTTGGAAAGAAGGCGAGTAAAGAACGCTCTGGCAAGATTAAAGAGAGAAGTTTGTTATAATTGTAGAAAGGGAGGACAGAACCTATCTGATTGTCTAGACTTATAGAAAATAAAAAATACCAGGAGTTGATGCTGCTGAAGGTGTTTGTTTGAAATGCGGCTCAATAGAACAAAGGCAATTTGAATGCATAGTGCAAAGGGATGAGTAATTTAGATTCACAACATGATTCATACGTAAAAAATCAGGCCATATAGCAAGACAGTGCCCTGATAATCCTAAAGGTTTATATCCAAAAGGAGGTTGCTGTAAATTATGTGACAATGTTACACATCTGAGAAAGGATCGCCCTACAGTAATAGATATGATGGAGGAAAATCTATTAAACTTCAAACTTTAGACAGTGCAAATGATATAGAAGGTATTGGACCACACGGACATAAAACGTAAAGTTCTCTGGAGACAACTAAAAAAGCAGAGAAATTTCGATTTTAGGTAATGATGTAATTTTAAAATAAATACTAGTTACTATTTAATAAATAACCAGTTATTATTCAATAAATAAATAGTTGCTATTTAATAACTAGTTACTATTTAAATAAAATAAGTAGTTACTTTTTATGATATTTAATCAAATCAAGCAATCAATGAGACAGCCCGCCAGATGATGTGACAACCATCGCCTATACGAGACGAGGACATCACAACACGCTGTAATACACATGGTGCATTGCCAGAGGACTATAATGTGTCATAAACAATAACTAGTTATTTTTATGTTCTTTATACTTGTTCTAGCAATTTAAGAATCATTAAAAATCACATTATTTTGTCATTAACCCAGACTATTATATTCAAAATGGAGTATTAGTACCTATCTTCGTTAGATTCTGCAAAAACATCGCATAGAATAGCTATAATTATATGCATTTAATGTAACGTTAAAAATAACTAACTACGTTAACATATTGAGCCATCACTATTATTGCGTAAAATATTGGCATGTAGTATTATACGCTTATAACATTATCCCCGAAGAGTCAGTATCGAAATACTCATGGCTTAGTATATATATACTTAATATATATACAAAATAAGCAGATTATAGTTAAACATAGTTATTATATTAAGCAGTTATTAACTAATAATTTCATTATCACAATCACAGCATACTTTGGAATAATTCTAATTAAAACTATTATTTTACAAACATAGCGCAAAGACATGAAATGATGCGTTTATTCACTAGTTTAAAAAAACATACGAATCTTAAAATCGACCCTGCTTCGAACGAATTATATAGATCTAGTGCTAACATATAGATATATCACTGTTGTTATATAATTAGCTAGCTACCGTTTTAAGTCTGTTATAATTTTTCATAAAAATTAAAATCTATTTCACTAGCTATATTTGTTTATACGTATTTAATATATATGTATTCAAGTATATTTGAACATATATATTTTTAATACAGTTAGAAATATAACTTTATATACATAAACGTTACTAATCAACGTTACGTTAAATTAAACGTCCAACTTTGGTATAATCATGTAGATTAAAACTAATTACAAATGGCATAAAATAATTAAATATTGGCCGAGTAAGAGAAAGGGTGAATTGTTCCTGTGATAATTTAAAACCAACATTTCCACAAACGAACGATTCTAATTGGGAAAAAACCAGCTATTTTGATTTAAAAACTAAACTAAAAAAAAAATGTTTTAAAACGGTTTATAACTGGCTGAATTATGAGATAAGAAAAAAAAAGTACAACCGATTTAAGAACGTTGTTCTTTAAAGTCGATTAAAAAGAACAAGTAACAGAAAATAATTTGAAATGAATCTAATATACGTGGATACTTTTATATACATACACACTAAACAACTACAAATATAATTGATTTATTAAATATAAAACAATATAACAATATGTTAATAAAAAATCCGATTTTTAAACAGACATCTAGAAACATAGACAAAACCCATCTCTTTCTCTCTGATAGCAGTTTAAAAAGTGAAATCGAGATAGAAAGACGCGTAAATAATGGCTAATAAAATCAACAGACAAATTTTGGGTAATGAATGCAAATTTTTTCAATAGTACTTGACTTGTGTTTTAAACACAATTTAAAAAATAATTTTAAAAAGTATACAGTATTTTTTTTTAAACAGAATTATTCAATTATAGATTATGTAAATAATTATTTTTAATGCACCTTCATAGATCACTCTACGATTACTATAACATATTACTGTCATTACAAACAGTCGTTCGTTAAAAAAGCTCTAGAGCATTCCAAATTTCGACATAGTCTAAGAGCTCGTGACCGAATTACTCGTGGTATCAAAAATTCAAAATCTGTCCGGAGTCCGCCCCGACATTGGGCAAACGTGTCACTCACTACAGCTGTCTCGCTCGTTGAGCACGTACTCATAGAGGGCCTTGCACAGGTCGTGCAGTGTCGCGTCTCACCTACCGCCGCCGCGCTTGTTAAGTGGGTCGTATAGCTCCGTCTCAGAGTCGATCTCGTCTTCGGACAGAGATAAGGAGCCGCCCATGCGACGGGAGCGGAGTCCCTCCTGCAATAGAATATAATGTGAGATTGACTAAAAACTTTGGTTTTAGTCACATCATGCAGTTTTTTTTTTTTATTTGTAACAAATCCTACGAATTTTCATTTATTAGTAAGTATGGTATTACGATATAAATTCTCTAAAACTTTGTTAGTATCAAATTTGAAATGATTAAACCAATGGCATTAATCTATGCATGATATGACTACAGTTTAAACATAACATAACATTTAGTATAAGCGAACATAACATGTGATTACAGTTAGCAAAGCCCCAGTAGACAAATCATAGGCACGCAGTTGAAATTGAATCTTTATTGAATATTTTGTGAATAAAAAACTATTTTTAACAACTAAAGTAAGTAAACAATTTAAATAGAAATTGCATTAAAAAATTTGGTGCATAAAAAATGGACTCAGAGATGCTTAAAAACCCATGAAGATTTTTTCTTTGCATTATTACTCTAAAAAGGGGGTTAAATAAAAAAAAAAACAGTGAGAGGTTAGTATCGATGTACAATGCTATGTAGTAATTATAACACTATTATCAACTTCTGCGATTTTTGACATAAAAAAAATACAGTTGACCATAGTTGAAACTTTAGAACCCGAATGCCAACTTTGCCGAAGCTCATCAGTTTGGTTGTGGCTTTATACAAAAAAAGTGGGGTCCACCATCTACAGATATGAACAACAGCTTGACCCCCATTATAACAAAATTATAGCACCAACTACCTTACCATTAAAACTGCAACATAGCAACGCACACAATGCTGTTTAACAGTACAAAAAGATGGTGGTACCCAGGCAATTATTATTAAATTAGAATTACTACCACTCTTGAATAAATGTGTAAAAAAAATTTAACTATTTTTAATGTCCAAATCTTGATGATCTAGAAGGTTATTTTAACCAAAGCATATTAACACTTAACGGACGGGTCGATCTGCTCCGTCTTTCCTAGTTTCCGGGAATTTTTAGGGCCATTAAATAAATATGAATAAAATGGAATTGTAACTATTGTAGTTAAACTTTAATAAATCAATTATATTTGTTATAATATTTCATAACAGTATTTATTAAATTCTTTAGTATTCTTTAAGCGTGTGATATGCTGTAAAACATTTACCTTTTTGCAGTGGAAAAACGCAAATGTTTTTCCACTCCACTGGACGGGGCCCGTCCATTAAGTGTTAACACAAATTAACAGACGAAACATTCTCGAACAGTTAGCGTGTTAAATGTAACTTGTTATTGAGTCAAAATGAACTTGTACACTAGAAACTATTTATTATTTTGTTTTATCCTCTAACATAAAAAAAAAAAACATTTTAGTAGAAAACTACATAATATAAAAAGAACAATAAAAAAAATGCTATGAGTATTAAATTAACACAAGCTCCTCGACTACACAGTGCTCCCGGACATGAAAAAAAAGTAAAAAAAAAAGATATTAAACCCTGTGCGAACTACAGCGTGCAGCCGAATATATGCCCACCAATTCCGTGTCACTGATCCAAGCCGCGCCCTCCTCTACACTGGAAGACATCTGTATGACGAAGAAAAACCACCACCGATAAGATAAACATTTAAAACTCTGTACATTACTCCTATACTGCATTTGAGTATTAGTGACTATTGACCTTTAGTAAAATTTTAATTATTTTTTTCATTTTTTTTATTCTGCCGACCGTAAAGGCGAGACAAGCGTGACAGATATGTATGTATGTAATATTTTTTATTCAAGTAAATTTTATTACAACCATTTTTGAATAGTCATTTTTTACAATACTACCGTTTATTATTATTATTATTATAATCCATTTTCTTTTTTTAACAAAAGTTGCTTTTTTGAACACATAATTGTAGGAATTTGTTTGTTACCCAAATAGAACAAAATAATAAAAAAAAAAACTAAAAATGATTATAAAACATCTCTCCCGATTTATCGTTGAAATCCAACTGTAATTAGTTATAGAAAAGAGGATCAAAATAGGCCTTATCTTAACACCAAATCCCTGAAGAACTAAAATAAAAAAAAAAAAACATGTACTTATTCTATATAACAATAAACTACTTGTATATTAAATAGAACACATTTTACGTATAGGTTATTAACAAAACTCCAACCTCGCTTGTACAGAGGGCGCACGCTGTAACGTCTGTACTAATAACACGTAAAATACAAGTTTAAAACAAACATTTTTAAAGTTTCATACAATAAGTATTAACAGTGTGCGCCATCTTAAACTTAAACATTTGAATTTAGAACCAAGCTAAAAATATAACGTTATTTACACCTAACACAAAATCTACTATAAACAAATACACCACGAGCTCTCTGACTACGACATTTATATCGCTCGTTGCCAACGTACCTCCAATATCCCAGCGCTGGGCTCGGAGGCGTACCCTTCGAAGTGCCTCGGGTCCTCCTCGTAGTCCGACGAGGACGACGAGTCGTCAACGTCGCGACCCGTCCGCACAGAACACACCATTTGTGCGAGGTCGGTGAATGTGTAGCTGCGGAAATATACAATTATAGGTATTATATTTTTAAATATATTTTAATATTTTTATCTTTTATTTAATTATTTTATCTTTTCCCAAGAGACTACAGCATGGGGTTCTTCAAAAGGGGGTAAAGAGGTTTCTTCAGAGTCGGCAACGCGCGCGTAATACCTCTGGTATTGCAGGTGTTTATAGGCTACGGTAACCACTTACCATCAGGTGGGCCGTATGCTTGTATGCCACTTCAGTGGTATAAAAAAATATAATTGGTGGCAACCCCAACATTTTATTTAAAAAAATTATATGTTTTTCTTTTATGTGTGGCAGCACTGTGCTACGATTTTTTACTCTCTTGTAATGTGCTATAAGCATCGAATATACTCTCTCCGGCATTATTTGGTATTTTTATTAATATACAGCGTCAAATATACAGTCCCCCGGCACGTCAAATAACGTTCGGAACCCTTTCTCTTTTTTCTCAATGTGCTCTACCCAAACGCCGTCTGAAGAGATTGATTAGCGATAAGACCGCCTTCTATATCACTTTACATAAAAAATTACTGTATTTAATTACTTAATAATGCAATAAAGTGTAAAATAAATAAATACCGTTGGGTGAGGTGTTGCAACATCGAAATTTAATCTCAATTTAGAAAAACAAACAAGCTGACCGTATGCCTAATGGAAAGTGCCAACTGTCGCATTGTATAATATATATAATTATAATCAGAATCAATGAAAATGTTTCCGTGTCGTGGTTCTGGCATAAAATGAGCCACCCCTTCCTGAAGACGAACTCCTCGAGAGAGGAGCAGCAGCATCCCTCTTAAAAAATCACCAAAGCCTACCCGTCCGCAAAGCGTGACAATTACTGGCAAACCCTCCCCCCCCCCTCTTTTAGGTATATATATATATATATATATATATATATATATATATATATAAGTGAGTAGGGATATATTATTACATTTCCATTGTTTTCTCACTGTGATCATTTCTTGTAATTGTTTATATCTAGAATAAGTTCACTATAGTAATCTTTTGGAAGAAACAATAAAGAGTATCTATCTATGTATTATCGAAAATGTTTGTTATATGAATGTTTCCAAGGTCGTTAATACAATACTAACTCGGTGAGCGAGGGCTGCGCGTCGGGCCGGCGGCGGCCCTGCAGCGCGTGGTGGCTGGCGCCGCTGACGCCGCCGCCGCCGCCGCGCCGCTGGCCCTCGAAGTAGGCGGCGCCGTGCCGGTAGCCCACCTCGCGGATCTCGTCGAACGAGCCGAACTGAAGCGTCTTGTACGCGTCGATCGGCGGCCGGATGTACTCGCAGTAGTCAGACTTCTTCACCTCCTGCGGATAACGTCATCAAACTTTTTGTTAAATCAATGCACCGCCACTTATTTATTTATTTTTATTTATTTAACACTATTGCACCAACATAACAGGATTTGTTGAACAACTTTCAATACGTATAGTGTAGAAAAACCCCGCTTGCCAAGCGTGGCAACTACTGCCAAAACCCCTATGTGGGAGGCCTATATTATTTACCCGCGCTATCGGTATACACCGGCGGGGCACCAGTGAAGAATGATAAGTGAGGATGAAGTAGGTCAGTTAGTCCATCGTGACGAATTCAACAAGAATTGTTCACGATGTTTTCCAGGGGCAATCACGTGGAGGTCGACCTAATAAGGTATATTGCTAGCGATGGGGCTGTCAAACTCCATTGCTAACAATCCTTTTCCCCCTGGAGGCCTATATTCAACAGTGGAGTGGCGTTAAGCCAACAAGGCGTTATACAGTAACAAACAAACTCATTGTCACATTTATAATATTAGTAAGGATTAATAATAGATAATAACTAATGTACTTACACATTAGAGAACGCAGTACGTACCTCTAGTTGCCTGTTACAAGATACGTAGGCGAGTCGACTTTGTATATCGGGTAAATTTGGCACCTTGACCGGAGTTGTGAACGGGTTCCATCTGAAATAATATTATATAGGAATGTTTCATGCCATTCTAGCAGAATATGAAAATAGTATTTAAAAAAAGACAAAAGTCCCTAAATAAATAAAAATAAAAAAAAACATGTATTTTTCGCATGGAGAATATGTCTCAGTCTGTAATGGTGTGTATTTTTTTTTATACAACTTAGAATGGCAAACAAGCTGACGGCCCACCTAATCGTAAGTGGTAACCGTCGCCTATAGACATGAGCAGTACCATGGACATTACAGAGTATACTGTTTCGCCCATGATGATATATATGATGATATGATGATACGTTTCGTCTTCATTCCTGAGGACTCAGGTGTTATTCCTCTGTACCCTGTAAATTCACTGCCATATTCCATCCTTCAAATCGAAACACAGCCATGCAAACACAACTGCTTCACGGTTGAAACACGAATGGAATTTATTTTATATAATTTAATTATAAAATAAATAATAATAATACTATTGCCGTGTGGTTCCGGCATAGAGTGAGCCACCATTACGCTTCCAGTCGTTTCGTAAGAGGCAACTAGGAAATTTAATAGTCGAGGATTGGGCAGCAGTGCCCCTCTTAAAACGTCAACAAAGCCTAACTGCTGTTGCCAACTTAAAAGCATGGCAACTACTGGCTAAATCGCGCTTACAAAATAGACCTATGTTCAACAGTGGACGGTGAACGGCTGAATTCATAATAACAATAAAAAAATAAATACCACTGGGACATATTACACAGCGCCCTCTAGTCTCAACCTAGGCAAACTTGTACAATAAATACTTGACAACTGACAGAGACTTACATACTTTAAAAAAAAAAAACTCGATACATAATATACATAGAAAATACCTTAACAAATAAAAACAGACATACTTATGAATACAAATATCTATATTGTGCGGAGATGCACGGCCATTGGACGATAAAGCAGCATGTTAAGTCACTATACGTAATACACAGCTTTACAGTTATCTCTTCTTTTCATTTAAGAGTTTCCTCTTGTCGGTGCAACTAATTCATGCATCTTCTGCCAGCCAGCTCTACCCCAGGCCATATCCTTGACCTCCCTATACGACATGACACCTAGTGTTTCTTTTATCTGACCCATGTCGTTATTCCTCGGTCTTCCTCTTCCTCTTTTGCCCTCTATTTTTCATTTCTACTATGCTATTAAAAAAGTCGTCATATCGTATAAGGTGGCCCAGCATTTTGGCTCTTCTATTCTCTATTTAGCTTAGCTTTACCGTTACCGTTTAGCAATTAGTTTAAAAAAAGAATGATCACTCTAATTTCTTGCTTATCCTTCAAAGCCTAAACTGCTTTATGAATTAGGCAATAAATTAAAATAATACTTTTATAAAAGACTGCAAAGTCTTATTATGACTAAATTCTTTTCGATTCTTAAAATGATTATGTGACTGCATTCAGTCGATTCTTACAGTTCTCGATTCTGCGACCAAGCATAGACAATCATGAATTTTTACCTTTTCCACAAGAGCCACCAGCCAGACAGGTCATCGCCATAATTAGTAAGATCCACATCATCCTGGGATCCCACGTCTATAGCCAGTATATGTTTCGCACCGAGCGACCGCATCACGTCCGCTGTAATTTTATTTATTTTACATTCGTTTAAATTATTTTCTCTATGGTTCAAGTATATTTTTTTTTTCTGTCCAACAATATGCTAAAACTCAATGTTTATAACGATCAAATAATAATAATAATAAAGTATTCTAAGAACAAATTATCTAAATGTATTTTTTTTTTTCATTTACTTCGACTTTTTTTCTTTTATTTAATAAGTTGTCAGAAAGGTTCGTTTTAAATTCGCATTTTTAACATATATTTAAATTTCATTTTTTCATAATCCCTAATTTAATTACCATCATTAGAACAAAATAAAAGGAAATTTTATATCTTAAAATAATCTTTACTAGTCTTTCTTGAAGAACTTAATAAAAATATACCAAATTTTCAAGTTTATAAATTCACAGAAATACAGTCTGAATGAAATGAGTAATAAATCGAATCTTTGAATTATTTTTTAATTTGACAATCGACAGACTGTCTTATGATCATGTCGATTATCTGTCCACCTTTTCATTAAATTCTATTGAAACAGTCTACAATTATAATACAATAAAAAACCATAGATTATATTACCTGGCACATTATTAACGTAGCAACCATCTAAAAGCAGGTGTCCGTCGAGCGGGTCGCAGATTGGCGGGAAAATGCCGGCGATGCTCATAGACGCGCGACAGTACCGCCACAGAGTACCTGACAGCGGGATCGTCACTATCCGCACCGAGGTTGCCATACGTACTTACCTTCTCTATGGCTCTGAGTGTAAATGTTTTGACCATATTTTTTTTAACATGGCAGTAATGTATAATAGTGTTACGTTAACTCATGTGGTAATGTAGTTATTTATTAAAAATGTACAAATGTAATAAAACTTCTCAAGATTTTTTTTATAAAGAGTAAATATATTTTTGTTAAAAATCGAAATTTTTGACGAATAGTGATTTAATTTTTGTTATAATAGTGTGATTTATTAATGTTACAGAGTACTACATATTTTTTTTTTCAAATTATATATATATATATATATATATATATATATATATATATATATATATATATATATATATATATATATATATATATATATATATATATAACATATTGCGTTTTTAAAACGGTTGTTGTGGCATACACCTATACAAGCAAAAATCCTATTTCAGAACGTAGTGTAGGTGAAAGGCGGCGTTAGCTAAGAAGAAAATATTTGATAAAATAAGTATTTAGAATCTTATAATCCTAATAAAAGAGATAAAAAGCCAAACGAAAATAATAAACGGGCTTTGTGAAAGACACGTAAATAAAATTCATTATACGAATACAAATCAAGCTGTTTTGTTATTTATTGTGCTACATATACCTAAAAGTGAAGTGATTTTATCATTTTATTTAATATAATTTTACTAAAAAAGAACTACATTCGTTTATGTAAAGGGATCTGACTAAGAACATTTACACTCAGTCCACGCGCCAATCTAAATAGCAGAACTTATCTATGTGCGAATGAGCTTACAGCCAATTGGTTTACGCACACAAACATCAGTGCATTGTGATTGGTTTACCTGGCAGGTTGTTGACGTAACCGCCGTCCAATAGGAGGTGGCCGTCTACAGGGTCGCACAGCGGCGGCATGTAACCGCTCAGTGACATCGAGGCGCGTATGTAACGCCATAGCGAACCTGCGGTCCGCGATATGCGTTAAACACTGGCATCGATTTTTAAATTACGAACCTTTTTATTTTTAAAATTTTAATAAGCAAAGATATTTAAGTTTATTTTAGGGCGTGTACACAAGACAAGAAATGACTGTGGAGGTTAAGTGTACATCTGTGTATGTTAACTAGAAAACACAGTCCATGGAAAGGAAACGATGATGAGAAGCGATCCCATAGAGTTTAGAAGAAATGGAGAATCTTATATAATTAAGAAAACAATATTCATTACAGTGATATCTAAGTTTTTTACCAACCCAAACATCAAACATATTTGTCGACAATTCTATTTTAAAGGGGGTTTCATATAAAACAACATATTTCATTACTAGTGAAACAATGATAATAGTCCATGCTACAGTATTCGAACATGCATCATATGCTAAAGAATGAAACATGTCCAAAATTGCTGATGAATCGCAAAGAAGTATACGGTCATAATGTAACATTATGGTCTAAGGAAAAATAAAGCCACGTATTCACTTAGACATAGATAATTTAAAAAATCTTTCAGTGTTGCCAGATACAAAATAATGTATCATTTAACTAAGGTGCTGATCTGTATTGTAAAGACAGACTATACAAACTTAGTAATATTATCATAAAGACCAGAAATACCTGAAAAATGATATTTCCCTTTTATTTACAATAGCGTTCACTGCAGTGGGTAATTCTCAAGTGATTTACAAAGAGATAGTTTACAATTCAACTATACTTTTTATGTATATGTCACCCAATATCTTGGTTACTGATTTTAATAATTCTTTTCGCAAACATTAGGGTTACACCCATATTGGTTTCATACTAATTCAGTCCAAACTAATTTTTTTTTTGTGAAACAATATCCTGAATTACATACTTATATAACTATTTATTCGTCCCTCTTTAAACATCAAGTCTAAATAACTTTTAAAACATCTCTAAAAGCTTGATTGTGGTTGCCAATCCGCCTGCCAAGCATGGCAACTACTGGCAAAACACTCTAATAGAGGGAGGTCTATGTACAGCAGTGGACACAACAACTGATATATGACATAATATAATATCTCTTTATTAAAAGTTCTTAAACAAGTTGCAAACGTTTTTACGCTTGCAATATAATCTTAGTAAATACGCGGCTTAGTATTTATTGAAATAGATGTAACATGTTTTAAAATACATCTTTTTATTTTGTGGTCTTATTTTCGTTATATTTTTCTTATTAATAATTGTACAGTCATTATTTAGTTAATTAAAAAAAATATATAGAATCACAGAACTTAATCTTCTTTATTTCTAGCATAACCATAATTAGCTTATATTATGTATTTGTTTTGGCCACATATTCAAATATTAATATGCTAATCGTACATTTCATGCTATAAAGTTACGATGTTGCCAGTACTTTAAAAATAATTTTGCATCTAGCAACTTTAGTCTTTTTTTTTTTTTGTAAGCTTGCATAATTATTCACTTTCTTAATTATATTGTAGAAAAAAAACTAAAATAATAACATAAAATCTATACATGTCACATCTATATACAACAATGATGTTTTGATGGAAAATACAAAGATTTAAGCAGAGCTTCACTACAGCAATGACAATGATTCATACAGACGACAGAAGGAAGAATTAAACGTCCAACTAAAAACCACACTCATGCATATAAATGGAAAAAAAAAATGAGTAAAAATTACTGATGGATTAATGTACAAATATGATTATTAAACATTACATACACGACTGTAACATCCAACCCGACATTGTGGAAACGCACCGGTTATTATACAAAATATAAGAAATTTACTGACTTCTGAAACTGTAAGCGTTATTCAGTAAACCAATCACAAGCGTTCTTTTTATGTACGTAATGGCAACCCCAAAGCAAATGTCGGATTCGTACATTGTTATAACTTCGATTATATAGCATTATTTATTACTGGGGTGTGAGGACACCAAGTGAAGGACGATACATACACATATAAACAAAAAAAAATATGTATATATAATAATAAATATGTTATCATTTGTATAATTCAACACGAACAAACACTCGATACAGCTTGGACATCATACAAACACATAAATGCAAGTGAGTGTGGTTGAAAAATTTAAAACAAAACACTGTAGCGGACTAAAATATCTAATTGTGGATTGAACTCGACTGTGCGAGCGAGACGAGTGTAATGAAGAAACGAGACATGAATAGTCTGTTTCCATACATTTTCACTGCAACTATAGTCAGTGTCACCATAGATACTGAAAATCGTATGGTGACATAGACAACTCCGCATGACGATTCATTTAATAATGAAAAAATAATAACATTATGGTATTTAAAATCGTTCATTAAAAGCAAAGTGAAACGACATTAATATATCAATATTTTGTAATATCAAATCTACCTCGAAATCTGGTCAGCAGATTATTGAGGTGATGTTTCCACTACGTTCATACTTAAATGTATACCATGCATATTGTACCTTTTTTTATGGGATTATTCTTTTTTAAATATGGCCATACAGACCATAAATACTTTTCAACCAAATTTTAGAGTAAGAGAGATATATTCATAAAGCATATTTTTGGGTTAGTAAAAGTGCAAAGAAAGCTGTAAACGATTTACAAAAAAAAAAAATAAAAAATAATAATAATAATACACAATACAATTTCCTGTCCATGAATGTGTTGAGTTAATATGGCTACACTTAGGTATACGCAAAAATGTTGGTCTGATATGCATATAAGATAAAAGAAATAATATTGTAACGATTACTGCATATTTCTTACTTTTCAAAAGTACGTAAGAAAATGATAGAGGCCTTTGAAATTACAGTCAGTTACATTATTATTCCTTAGAGTGTTTTATAATTATAAATAAAAGATTTAATTTTTATCTTAAAATTCGACTCTCTTTGCTAATAGAAAACATCATAACGGTTTTAACATTTTTAAATCCCCCTAAAAAAGATATGCACGGAAATAAATATAATAATAAGATTTATACTTCATAAAAAAATTTACATCTGGTCGAATATTAACAATCTGCCATGCTATTTTATGCAATCTTGAAAATAATATGATATATTTAAAAAAAAAAAATAGTTCTGTAACATATGAAGCATTCTTTATCTATGCAATGCATAGACAATTTGATCACAGAGTCGACACTTGAATTCTATTAGCAAAAAATCGACTCATAATACACATCAAACTAACGCACAAGTATATTTTGATGTATACAATTTGTTTTAGACACACATATTACTATGAAGCTATTTTATTAATAAATCAATATTAATTATCAACAAAAGTTATTAATTTATTCCAGACCCAAAATTTTAACAAAACATAAATCGATTTATTTCTTGACACCTTGTCAAATAATTTTGATGTAGTGATAATTATGATTGGTTTCAGTTAATATAAAAAAAAATACACTATAAATATGTCACTTAATATATTAAGTGTATTTTTTAAACTAATTATTTTTATTTCTTTCTTAGCAATGTAAACAGATTGTTTTGAACATTTTTAAACATACTCCATTTTATGTAATTGACTAGCGATCCGGCCTGGCTTCGCACAAGTAGATAGAATTTTCGAAATTATATATAACCTATATTACTCGCTGATAAAAGTAGCTTTCCATAGGTAAAAGAATTATTAAAATCGGTTAAGCAGTTTTTGAGGTCATCCATTATATACAAATAAACAAACTTTTTATTATATTTTGATCAATTGGATGTATTTGTTCAGCTAGTTTTCGGGTGACCACAGAGTATTTGTGTTCATCCATTATATATTATTCATATCTATAAATATGTTGTTGTACTCAAACTTTTGTAAGGCTCTTTATTATATTAAATAAAAATTAAAAATTATATCACCTCGTTAGTAACACTGGAGGCAAGACTCGTGCATTGCCTACTCTTATAAAGTAGTAATAAAAATAATATTGGTACAAATTATAATACTAGTGATTAATACATTCAGTATCGGTAATTACTAATGAGTAACGTAATTTTTATAAACAAAAAAAGACAAAAATTTTACATTAATTACTTGGACTTCCCATCATTATCACTGAAACCAATCACAATTAACCGTAAACAACCCGTCAAGTAACCTAGCAAGTAGCTACCCCAATTACTAGCCCAATAATATTATGATTATAAGCCTATTCCTATTCTAGCTAGTGCCTTAGCCGCTTACCGTGTCTATGTATCCTCATGCAGCTAGAACTGATATCCGTCGTAACAGTGAAATATGGAAGCCACAGGTCTTCAATGTGGACATCACCGAAGGTAGTATGAATGGTCGTGTTAAACTGGCGGCCAGAGAACATGGATGTGGCCGGATATGTGAGATCAAGGAGCTGTTTGCCCCACTGAGTCATTTTCTGGAATGAGTAAGATTTTATATCACTCACCCAGTCTGGGGTACTTTTTGTTACAATTTCGGTTTGAAATATATAATTTGACAGTAAATTGCTAAGTATAGAAGTATGACTTTCTAATCCTCGATTATAACAACATAAAAGTTCAGAGCAGGAAGGAGAGAGGAGAGGTAAGAGATTATAAAAATACTTCATGGCCGTCAATTGTTCCATGCCATAAATATATAATATTGTATAAGTAAGTTGTACCTTTAGAAGTCGCTTAAAACGTAGTTTTTCTAATTTTTTTTCGGTTTTATTATTTGTTTTATCCATATCGTGACAACAATGTAAAATGATAAATATCACAAACCTGCGACCATTCTCTAGCCTTCTGCGTGACAGTGGTGATGTTTCTCTCCATGCACCACAGAGCGCCCATAAAAGCGCCGATACTAACGCCACCCACCATATCTATAGGGATGCCAGCCTCCTGAAAATTAAAATACATTGCTAAATTTTAATTAATAATTATACAGTAACAAAATATTTTTTATAGTTTTATGGTTTAAATACATAAAATAAATAAAATTTGTAAAGAGATAAATCTCAACATCTTAATTATATACATTGTAGAAGAAATCCCACTAATACTACAATTGTGAATATTTGGCAAGTTTTTTTTTTTTTATACAACTTAGAATGGCAAACAAGCTGACGGCCCACCTGATGGAAAGTGGTAACCGTCGCCTATAGACATGAGCAGTACCATGGACATAACAGAGTATACTGTTTCACCCATGATACCCCCCATGCGTTGCCATTCCTGAAGACTCAGATGAGTTGTTTGTTATTTAATCATACACCAACGACTGAACTAATTTGAATATAAATTTCTATATACTTTATCCTAATTTAGACGAGAAAATTTGTTGTGACACGGTGCATAGTATAAATTTGAAATAGGAAGTGAGAAAATTAGTCACAATGTGAGTGCGTGTATTCAAGTATTTGGGAAGGAGGATAAGTACTGTTACAGAGATACGTATGGACGTCACCTGTATGGCACGGATCATGCCGACGTGCGCAGCCCCGCGGGCGCCGCCGCCGCCCAGCACCAGCCCCACGGAGGTGCCGGTGAGCCAACGCGCGAGCCGAGAGAAGTCTGAATGCACGTTCGCCTCCGACATTAGCACCTTCGTGTATAGCTCGCTCTGTGCAAACAATATGTAGTTTTAAACTGAGTGATCTTTCCTAACCTTTATTTGTCTATTATTTCCACGGTAATTAGACGAACTGAATCAGTAAGAACCTACGTGAAGTGTTATGAAGTTATAAAGGAGTACCATAGGTATTACAGTGTAGAATACTATAAAACTCATGGAAATGTTCTTATTTATAGAAAAGGCTTGTCACTATTCATCAGATGCACCGTCAGGTTGTTTATTTATACTAATATTGAAGTGAGAAAATAAAAACTTTAGAACACTTAGTACGACACGACAAACTTATGAACTTTATAATAGAATGTATGGGAAAGAAGGAGAAGGAGAGATCACGGCATAGTTACATCAGGCAGATCAAGAAAAAAGTTGATGTCGTGTCGCATCAAGAGGTGAAGAGACTCACTGAAAATCGTAGTGAGTGACAAGAGCTTCACTGACCGGAGCGCAGCTTTTAAATAGGAAAATAAAAAAAATACTAAGACATAACTGATACTAACCTGATACATAGCAATGTAAAACACCTCAATATTAATACTCGTTGTGTCAGAGATTGATCTAATTTATCTTAGCCTTTAGCCTTAGACAGAAACAATAATATAATCCTTCATCATATATAGGTAAATAGTGAAAATCTACTTACAATCCTGTACTGGCTCTTCCTGGTGAACATGCGGTGAGGGCAACGCACGTGGTGATGCTGGCTGACCCAGGTGCGCATGTTCAGCCAGTGGACCGTTCCTTCTGGGTTAGCACCACCCTCGCGATGAAGAAGCACCAACTCCTTCTGCGTTCGAATCGCGAGACGTTCGATTTCCTTCTCGATCTGGAAAATTCCATATTTAAAATTATTTCATAAAATGTATATATTTGTCTTGAATACTCTAGCATAATTTCAATATAAATTCATAATGTAAGCCTTCTTTCAAGCGAGTTTAAAAAAACAGGAGGTTCTCAATTGAGTTTTTTTGTTATTATTATTATATTTTTTTTTTTTTCACCTTATAATTCCGTCATTTGTAAATTGATTTGTCCCATAGAAATTTAATCAAATAGATTCAGTAATTCAGTAATTTTTAAAGTTGGTGTTTTTTATGGAACAAAGTCTTAAATTATTATCAATAATAGTCATACGAAAATATGAAAAAGAAAAAATTAAAAACGCTTAATCAAATAACTCAACAACCTCTATATTGTAGCAAATTATTAATTAATATTATAAATGTGAAAGTCAGTTTGTTTGTTACCTTATAACAACTAGTTACTCTATTTGAGTCAGAGATTGCTATTTGCTCTTCTATTGCAGTTGTTTTATTTAATTGTTTTATACAGTAATACTTTATGTATGTATTTATTTATTTATTTAATTTATTATGTGTGTATGTTTATATTAATACGAATTTATCAAATATAGCTTTACTTTTTTTTCTCTATTCAAAAATGCACCGCCCACGTATATCTCGGTTTGCCCAATGGTTGACTGGTAGAGAAAACCGTCCGGTGTTAAGTTCGCCAAATGAACATAGAATTTTATTGTGCATTAAAGTTTAAATAAATAAATACAATTGCCTGCTCACCTTGCCAATACTGGGTTGCTTATCGCCCAGCGCCACTATTAAAATGCAATCAGCTTGCCGTATACAACGCTGAGTCCACTGAGTCAGGCTCGGGTCACACTGGTACAGCGCCACCTAGCGGGAACAGAGGGAAAATGGATTGTTGATAGTGGGGTCTAACAACCCCATAATGGGGGAAAGAGATTGTTAGTAATGAGATCTAATAATCCCATTGCTACCAATATACTCTCTCAGGTCAACCTCCACGCGGTTCCCCCTGGAAACCATCGTTACTAATTTATCGTTAAATTCGTTACGAGGGGCTTTTAACCTTTAATCATCCGTCACTGGTGCCCCGCCAGTGTATACCGATAGCGCAGTCGGGGTTACCATTCTACTATCATCCATTAAAAAAAAACAGGCCCCTCAGCTAGAAATATATCCTAGCAAGTCGACTTCTATACTGTTCCTCCTAGACACCATCATGGTTCATTCTTGTGGAACTCATCACGATGAGCTAATTGATTATGGAAAAATAGAAGGCTAAGGCAGATGACCTGCTTTCATCCTCACCTATCACCTTTCACTAGTACCCCACTAGTAATTACTGCTAGCACAGGTGGGACTTCCATTCCATTCTCACCTATTAGAAAAAAAAAACCCTAATGAGAACAAATTAATCAATACTTTTGTTTAATTAAAATAACGAATTTAATACCACTAGCTAGTTCAAAATTAAGCAATGTCTTTAATTTTGCTTTTATTCACATGGGTACCTCTTTCTCACTTATTTCTGTTATATAACAACTGTACTTGTATGGCTATGTTTCGGTTTGAATTGTGGGATGTGGCAGTGAAATTACAAGAGTACAAGAGGTATAACAACACATGAGAGAATAACAACTTAGTCCATGGCAACACATGAGAGCTTCCATAGGTATCACAGAGTATTTTGTACATCCATGATGCAATTAACTTGATAAGTGACACATATTATATATATTTAAATAGTTTTCTATTGTAGTAACATACTGACATTTTGTCATGCGTCGTTTTGTCATTCCAATTTCAGCAATATTCTAAAGCAGTTAAGCCTACCGTCAAATTACAACAAATTAGTTTAAAAATAAGCATAGAACTTAACATAAAACCATTACCTTATGCTTATCCTCCTGTTGTGCAAGCCATGAGCTTAGTCTGTACTCGTTGTTCGGATCCATAATGGTGAGACCGAGAAGTTTTCTAATGACATCGGATGTAAGACGGACAGTGGGACCTATTGAAATAGAACATAAGCATACAATAATACCTTTTTTAAGCAAAAATATGCATAACAATAATATTGAATTAAAGAACTCCTTTTTTGAAGTTAAAAATGTCTCCTCATTATCATATCAGCCTTAAACTGTCCACTGCTGAACATAAGCCTCCCCCATAAGGGGAGTATTTCCAGTAGTTGCCACGCTTTACAAATGGATTGGCAACCACAGTTAGGCTTTAAAATTATTTTAAAAAGGATGCTGCTGCCCATCCCTCGCCCTCCCTTACTCGGCTCTTACGACACCCACGGGAAAGGAAGGGGTGGCCAAATCTATGCCAGGACCACACGGCCAGGGAAAATGAATACTAGGTACTCACCAATAGCGCACAGCGAGTGGTACAACTCATAAGTGAAAGCGGTGAGCGGCACGTCTTCGCTGACCGGCACCACGGCCACCGTTGAGAAGTTGTGCTGCGACGGACGGGACTCGAACGTGGCCGGCCCGCCCAGGCCCGCGGTCGGCTTCTGCCATGAACCTGAAAATATTATGATTCGTAACCGGTGAGCGAGGGGGAAAAGGGATTGTTAGTAATGGAGACTGAGAATCCCATTGCTAGCAATATACCCAACCAGGTCGACCTCCTCACGGTTCTCCCTGGAAACTATCATGGTATAATTCATCATGATGGGCTAACTGGCCTGTTTTCATTCTCATCTATCACCCTTCACTGGTGCTTCGCCAGCGTATCCCGTTAGCGCAGGCGGGGTTACCATACCATTTTCAAAATAAAAAAACCAGTGAGCGAGTAACCACTATGGCTCAATAAAAAAAATAACCAATGCGTTATTTAAGACAGCATGGACGACTATAGAATTTGTTTAAAAGCATAAACACAAAATAAATGACAAAAACTGTTCTAAATAACATGTGAATAAGAATCAAGTTTCCCTAAATATTAGGAGCCAATTATATTTCGCTAACCGGATACCAAGTATAATGGTAACTTCGCAGTTTATTTACTTGGTTTAGAACCAAGTGATTGACTCAAAGATGCAGGTATCAGCAACTATATTCTATTTTTTATTATTTATTTATTTATTCTATATGTTATTTTGGTATTTCATAGTGTTTTACTATAAAATATTATTACTTCCTTATATTATGACATAAAATCATAGATTGCTTGATTTTAAATGTAAAATCTGGAAAAAAAATTGAAATATTTCTGAAAGAATTTCCACTGGTGTTCAGTTCCAAATAATGGTCTGAATTCACTATCTAAATTTTTGCCTACCTGTCCCTTACACGCTGTATACTTTATAATCTAAGTTCTGGACTGAGCCCACAGGTGTCTATTCCTAGTTTCTCATAATGCAAAGTGTATCCAAGCTCGTGGATTATGTAATTCTGTGTACAACTATAATATATACTTGTTCACGTAAACAAACCCACAAGTTACATGCTAATAGAGAAACAAATATACAACCCTTACCTAAAATCCTGTGACCGAGTAAGTTTATAAGCCGAGTGACGACGACGGGGAAGCGTAGTTTGATCGCGTTAAATAGACCTTCAGGCAGCTTCGCCAGTTCAGAGTCGCGGACGGCCATCACTGTGGTACTGCGGCGAGTCTGGGTCACCATTTCCACCTGGAAGCGAAGTTTCAAAGGTAAGGACAGTTATATAGTTTTATTGTAATATAGCATTCAAAGGGCTTGCGTATATTCTGCTTTAACTACCACATTTTGGAAAAAAAATGGATGATTAGAAATACAATACAACTAATGTGTTTACTCTCACAAGCAATCAAGTTGTGAAATAAGCTTCCAATCTAGCTTTACCCTAAAGACTATATTTGAAGAAACACCTAAGCAGGCGTATTAAGAATTTATCCGAGTCAACAATAGGCACGTGTTGCCCCATTCGTGCGGTTTCAAAGGAATTTTCTCCCGCGAACTTTCAGGCTGTGGAATGAACTCCCTGCCGAGATTTTGCCTAATAACTACAGTATGGGGTTCTTCAAAAGGGGTATATTAAGATTTCTTCAGGGTCGGCAACGCGCACGTGATATCTCTAGTGTTACCGGCGTTTATTGGTTAGACCGTTTACCATCAGACAGGCTGTATGCTTGTTGGCCACCTTTGTGGTACAAAAAAATATCATGGTGCATGCACCCATAATCCACTTTAACCATTCACCATCAGGTGGCATCTACATTTCTTTGCCACCGTTATAATATAAAATAATGGGCTATTAATATAATACATTTATATAAATTCATTTTTATAAAATTTTTTTATCAATTATTAGACCAACGAAGGTTAGACCAACAGAAATCTCAACTATAATACATTGTAGTACAAATCCTTTTCCGTGGGTGTCATAAGAGGCTACTAAGGGAACTTAATGTTCTAGGGGTGGGCAGAAGCAGCATCCCTCTTAAAACATGACCAAAGTCTAACTGTGGTGTGTGTTATAAGCGTGCCTAATAATTGTAATTGTAAATACAAAATGAGAAATATAAACAATACTCACGATGCCAACCAAATCGCCCTTGCCGTACTCGCCCACGAGCTCCTTCTTGCCGTTGGGGTGCGTGATCACTGAACGCAGCCGACCGCTCAACACTATGAACGTGGAGCCCGACTCCTCGTCCTGGCGGTAGACCGCGCGACCAGACTCGAGGAACACCTACAACCAAATCAATGAGAAATTTTTCTTATTAGTCTTTGCGCTAAATATTTAATGAAAAAAAAAACTTGCGATAAACTGATATTAAACATATGTAAAAAAAAAAAATTATAATGTCTAATGCATGCTTATTTTCAAACAATTGTTAGATGCCATTTTATAGAAATTAGATGCGTTCAACACCCTTCCATTACAAGTTTTAATTTTTTTTAAGACCGTAAGAGACAGAGAGAGAGAGAGAGAGAGAGAGAGAGAGAGAGAGAGAGAAGTTGTTATTATTTAATATTTACTGTATAATTATATATTTACTTCTTAATCTTTATAAAGAACATTAGAAAAATAATCTCCTATAGAAAAGGATTTCCCATTTGCCCTAACTGGCAGAACTGGACCATCAAAAAAAAAATGTTTTATTTTATTGAATTATCTATCATTTTTCGAACTGGTTATTTTATAGTGGTTAGTTGGTTAAAATTAAAATTAAATTTTTCAATCTATTAATACAAAATAATTATAATCAACTATCCATTTCACAAGCCATTTAGTATACTATAAAATAAAATTAATGAGGGGCAATAGAAATCAAATTGTGAAATGACACTTTTTTTTTTAATTGTGGACTATATACTTATTATTAGTTATAATTAGGCTAAATGTTATAGATACAATATAGGTTCAGATATGCTGTTTTCGCTGGCAACACTTTTTTTATATTTTTAGCCAAAGTCGTCAGAAGGACTTGTATCCATGGTCATGAATAAAAAAAAAAAAAAAAAATTTTGCCAAAGCGTAGTTACAATTGCGATAAATTTTAGATTTTTAAAATTTCAATAAAAACTCACCCAATCCAATGCAAAGTCCACTTGCCGCACGAACGGGGACAATCTCTTCACAACTGTATTCGCTATGTGCAACACTACAGAAGGCCTCTCTCGCATTATGCTATACACTGTCGTCTTGGACAGAAGCCCGATGCGCGAGAAGTGCTTCGCTCGTATCGAGAAGAAACTCGGCTCGCCAGTTAGCACCGCGAGACCGCCTTCCACTTCACCTAAATTAATTGATAAATTATTATAGTAGAATTATCCGATTCGATTATCCGAACATTGATTATCCCAATATTCGATTATCCGGACAGGACAGAACGAATCAGATCCCATACTGTTGTTACAACTGATGCGCATAACGGAATTTGCCGAAATGAAAAGATTTATTTATTTATTTATTCTTTATTGTACACAGAAAAAATTACAACATATAATATATATATAAAATAAAGATGTACAACAGGCGAGCTTAACTCTGTAAGAGTTCTCTTCCAGCAAACCCTGAGCGGAAAGGAGCATTAATTATTAGATGTGATTAAAAGATGTGATTCATTACGTCAAAGATAAATAATTATTTCCAACCAAAATTTTAAATTACATAGTTATTATGTAATCTATTACTTTTATAGCTCGTTATTTTATTTATCGTATAATCTAAAAGACATATGTAAAAACCCTTTATATATAAAAAAAAAATATTATGGTTTGATTTGACTTTAAATCGATAATCCGGATTTTCGATTATACGGAATGTCCTTAGTTTTATTTGATTTGGATAATCGACATTCTACTAAAACACTAGAGGGAGACTTTGTACAATTAAGTAGAATTTAGTACAAAATCAATAGTTTTTTTTTTTTTTATACAACATAGAATGGCAAACAAGCTGACGGCCCACCTGATGGAAAGTGGTAACCGTCGCCTATAGACATGAGCAGGACCATGGATATAACAGAGTATACTGTTTCGCCCATGATACCCCACATGCGTTGCCATTCCTGGGGACTCAGGTGTTATTCCTCTGTGCCCTGTAAATAAAAATAACGCCATATCCCACCCTTCAAACCGAAACACAGTCATGCAAACACAACTGCTTCACGATAGAAACACGAATGGGACAGAGGTACCCAAGCAATCGACTTTTGTACAAAGTCTCCCTCTGGTGTACTTAATGTATGTACTTAACTAGTTATATCACACTCGTATTTTTGTGCCATGAAACGGCTATAACTGCAGAACTATGTGAAATTAAAGGTTGTGAAGGCATAGTCCTTAAGAATAGCAGCGCATGAGGTATCCTATGGACACAATAGTGTATTCTGTGATGTCTGTAGTAATAATAGTCCATTGCATAAATCGGCTTACAATTTTATGTATTCCTGATTCCTAAGATAGTATAAGTTCTGTATCAAAAATCAGTTACTTCCCATATACATAAATTCTATTTTATTTCTTATATATGTATAGGCAGTTATAACTTCCTTCAGGTGGGCCATCTGCCTGTTTGCCATGCTAAGTATCATAAATAAATTATATATTTTTTTTCTAACTTACCTATTTCCTTTTCTATGTTACATAGAAAAATAATAAAACCAGACTCATATAAAATTTATATTTACATATCAGTGGTATAGATTAACCCCCTTATTCATAAAAACGTTAAACCTCACTCATAAACCTATTTTAGCTATTGTATTTCCTCCTTTTCTTTTGCTCTAATTTCCAATTTCAAAGACAGTGACAAAACACTCTAATAGTTGGGGGGAAAGGGATTGTTAGCAATGGAGTTTGACAGCACCATTGCTAGTAATATGCCCTATTAGGTCGACCTCCACGTGGTTCCCCCTGGAAACCATCGTGAACAATTCTTGTTGAATTCGTCACGATAGGCCAACTGACCTGCTTCATCCTCACCTATCATTCTTCACTGGTGCTCCGCCAGCGAATCCCGATAGCGCAGGCGGGGTTACCATTATCACCCATTAAAAAAAAAACACTCTAATAGTTAAAATAGGTCAGTAGGACGTTTTCAGTATTTTAAAAATAAGGAGGTAAGAATAGTAAGTGAAGATTAGTGTTGTTGACTTGAAAAAAGTGGAATATTCTCAATATATCGGGTAATGATATTAAGACCGCCAATATCTCCTAACACAGACTAAATTTTACAAGTACACAAATAAATGTCAATTAGAAGTTTTTGTGGTTAACCGTTGCTAATACATTACCTGGATATGCAGTGAACATATGCACCTCTCCTTCCCCCTCGGCCACTTTCTGTGATACCAGCAACGCACCGGAGAGTAGGTACACCAGCGCCACGTCCTAAACACATTCAAACTACTTTGTATTAACTAAACATGTTCCAACATGATCAATCATTAACTGATGCTTCTAATGTTTGAGCGTATACTGTATTTATATACAGTGGAGGTATTATTTTTTAAATTGGAGCTATTGAAGTAAAAAATAAATGACGACACAATGATAGGCCAATATGAACCTTATTACAAGTTGTTTTAGCACTGAAAATGTATTTGACCGACATGTAATCCATACCACAGTAAATGCACCCACAATGAAACCGCTTTGAAATTCGATTCATGGTTGAAGCTTAGAAAAATAAAACCAATTAGCGTCTTGAAGTCAACATAGTTAATATTTTGGTTAAAATTAACAAGTTATACAGTGTCTGAGTTCAGTGAAATTTCACTTATTGCCACGATGGTGTCCACAACTTTAAAAGAAAATCATGGACAATTCCCACTGCTTTTTTAGTGGTATAAGTTTTAAATTAAATAAACTAGATATGATTGACACTTAATGGGAATGACGGAAACAAAACATTAAAAAATATGGTTATAGTACGTTTACAATAATAAAAAATACCTTTTTTAAAAAGAAGTTCGTTCTGACACTAACTTTACGATATTTTAGAGCTTACACTAACTTTATGCTATAAATTTAAATAAGTATTTTTTGTAAGTGGCAAATAAATTTATTTGTGGGAAAACGAATGAGATAGCAACATCATGCGTCCTGATCTTTCTCGACTGCATTTAGACTAGCCAGAAGGAAACAGTAAGATCTGACATGTTTCTTATGCACGAAGGAACGTATTTACAAATAAGTTTATTTACCACTTGCCAATACAGAAGGTAAAAATTGCTCGTACACCTAGAGTTCTGTCATGTCCCCTTATCCTAACTTTAATGTATTCAATGAATGATTAGTTCAACTTCCATGCATATGAACTAAAATAACACAACACTCTAAACTGGTCGCACACAGAAACAGTTTGCAATACCTGCAGGATAACTGGTTCGCCCGCGATACTATAAAACAGCTTTTGAAAGGAAAATAATTGTGTATTAATTGGGTATGTTCCATTTATACTTAGAACTCTTAGTTATATTATTTTTTCAATAATATATCAAATAATTATTAATGTTCTAAGTTTTAATACCATTTGGAGTAATTACTTTAATTTCATTAGATTTATCAATAGGTTTTTTTAATGGATGATTATAAATTTACCCCCTTATTCATAAAAAAACATCAAACCTCTCATAAACCTGTTTTAGCTATTGAACTGTTTTGTCTCTTTCTTTTACACAAATTTCCCAATTTAATAGAAAGTGACAAAACAGTGTAATGGCTAAAGTATATTTGTAGAAGTATAATTTTAGTTTTTAAGAATAAAGAGGTTAAGGTAAACCCGCCAGCGATAACGAAGCACCAATGAGGGATGCAAGCGAGTCGTTGGTCCATCGTGACGAATTCATCGGAATTTGGCCACGAGGTATCCAGAAAAAACCGGGTTGTAGTCGGTATGACAAGGTATATTACCAATGAGGCCACTAGTCCCTTTGATTAACAATCCTCTCCCTCCAATATCGCTAAATGTTGACCTCGTCCCTAGGAGGAGTAGACACATACCCATACGCCTTCTAAAAAAAAATAGGGTGGGAAGTCCAGACCCCACCATAGTCAAGTAAGGAGGAGGCTTGCCCACTACCATAGGGTAGGCCGTCGCATCCAATCTCCGGTCCGGATGTACATTGCATTTTAGTGGGTAAGTCACACCGCTTCTGCCTTCCGTCCGGCAGTTGAGACAGACTTATGAAAACTTCTCGGAAAACAGAGGTCTGACAATGAGCCTCGAGGAGTTTAAATGTGTAAAAGTACCACACATCCCTTCTGCCCTCCGTCCGGCATTTGGGACAGTTTTTAAAGATTTTCTCAAAAAAAAAAAGTGTTGGCTTAGTATAGATACTATAACTAACTGAGGCACTGTAGTTACTGTCAACCCTATAAGTTGAAAGCGTGTATTTATATTAAGTGGTATTTGTATATACCTTGTGGCTCTCCTCCTTCATAATGTACGTGCCGGCGGGAAGGTCCCTCACTTGCACGTGACCTCTCAGCAGCGTGTCACTTTCCAGTCCCAGTTCTTTGACGAAAGCCTCAGTTGCTATTTGAGTTAAAGCCTAAATAAGGACATAATAATATCATGAAATATATATTATATTAAACAATATTTAACTGAACTAAGTGTTCTCTTCCGAAAGTTCAAATCACTGGTTACTTCAGTGTTTCCCAACCTTTTTTGTGCCATGCCCCACTTGAACATTTCTAAAATTTTTATGCCCCTACATACTCGTAATTTTTCCTGACAAAGTTTACTTGATGACTCTAATCGCCCAGTTGATATTTTGGTAACGTCAAACGAAATTAAACCTAATAAATATTTACATCATTTTTTTAAGTTTACTTTTTTTGTAAAATTTGGCACCGATATCTACTCGTAGCATTGCATTTAAATGGCTAGGAGCAAGAGGGTTAAAATCGCTTCGAGTCCATTTTTTAAATGCTTCCCCTTAACTATCAAACTGCCCCCCTGTGGGGCGTGGGCCCCACGTTGGGAAACACCAGGTTATTTATTTAGAATTATTATGTTCAATTTCGCTACCATTTGATTTAGAAATCAATTTATTACACATTTGAACGATTCATTGAGATTTAATAATCTCATTAAAATTTATTCAGTAGTTTTTGCAAGAATAAGTAATAAACATCCATTTATCCATCTTTACTGATTGTCATATTTATTATATTTATATACCTATGTCCATGGTACTGTTTATGTCTATAGGCGATGGTTACCACTTTCCATCAGGTGGGCTTGTTTGCTTTTCTGTTTTATATAAAAAATAAAAAAAAACCTGCTCATCCAGATTTTCATTGTTGTTCTTCTTGAACGACGATCCCTCTTTCGCACGTTGTAGCGGTGGAGTCGGTTGGACGTCTGGCTGTTGCTGTAAACATACAAATGAAGGATCAGAGGTTACCAAAAAATAAAGGATTCTTCGACTGTATCAATAAAATAATATTTTTTTTTTTATATTTTAGGTATATATAGTGTAATTTATAATTAATTATAATTTCTAAAATGTACAAACATTATTTAAATAAATATCAATTAAAATTATTTTATTATAATTTCTATGGTCATCGGCTACGCAGTGTGGAAAACTGTCTTTACAATACAATTACTTATTTCAACATTAATCTTTCATGAAATTTTACGTAAAATTTTGTTATTAATTTATTTAACTTCTTTACAGAACATTTTTCTTTACAGCTCAGTGATAATTTTGCTTAAAAGCAAAACACTGATTTTCAGCTACAGCCTGAAACCTGCATATGTAACCTGTATCATTATTTAAGGGGAACGATAGTTTTTCATTCATTCATTCACTCATTATGAAACAATATGTACCTGTGGCGTGTTGGACGTTATGTCAGGTACCATGTCGGGACGCTGTCGCCTTCCTTGTATGTGTATGGGAGAAGACACTTGGTGACCGCCCTCGGGCGCATGCTGTTATAAACACGGATGACTATGTTATATCTATCTACTCATATTACGAGAAAGGGCTGAGGTTGTATGTTATATGGGCTGTTCATTCATTACCCGAGCTTAAAATTAAAAGGAAAACAGAAGGAAGAGAGAGGGGGGGATGGGGGGTTCTGACAAAATGTCTCCAAATGTCATTTATTAGGTAATGGATACAAAACATATGTAGTGAAATAAGCAAGTAAACTACATCAATAAACACTAATTTATTCAACAATAAATTAATTTAATACCACGATAAATCTCACGTAAAGAGGGTGAAGGTCACACTTCACAAAAACAGGAAATAGGTTAAAATAAAACATTTCATCATTTTTTTTTTTTTTTTTTTTTTTTTTTTTTTTTTTTTTTTTTTTTTTTTTGCACTGATATTGAATATGAGCAGATACCGTCTTATGTCCGTATTATCGAATCAATTAAGTAATCGTTTATTTAATTCTCTATTATTTTGTCACAGACTAACAATCATAATAAGATAATCATAATTTCAGTAATAAGAATTCCGTTCGACAAGGCAACAGCTGTGTTTCTTAGTTCCGTATTATTTGAGTTTTTAATCAGTGTTTTTTAGCATTTTCCTTTCGTAAGTTATATGTATCGATAAGCTTTAAAAAATATTACAATAGTATAATTAACAAACTTAAATTAATGTTGATATTTAGAAGTAATTGTAAAATAAATTTCAAAAAGTGAAAGTTAACGACTATTTAAATTTTTGTTCCTGACCTACGACAACCCGCAGCCGGCTCGCATCTATGAGTCATCGTTGTACATCGTTGCTCAGACTTCTCGACGACTCAAGCTGAGTACCCTTATTATTTGAATTATAACCGAGATATATTGCATTAAGAACGCAGTTTAAATATATCGATTTATATCACCAACTATGATCTGTCTCGCTTGTAACAATCAAGCATGTAGTGACGACTATCTAAGATGCTATGCCTGCAAGAGTATTTATCACTATAAATGCCTGAATATGCAAACTAAGTTCTATAAAGATAATCTTTTTGAATTAAAGCGATCATGGAAATGTCATAATTGTGCACAAATCACGCGTCGGAGAAATGATAGTACCCCAGTCCGTCAACAATTTGATCTAACGAAAACCAATATAACTGATATGTCATGCGATGATTTACCGCACAATACATCCATGGTGTCTGGTGATGTAGATATATCGCTTCAGAGTAAAGATCAACCCCAGAGTTTAACTTCCACATCGGGTACTATAACATACGAGCAATTTAGTAACCTACTAGACATTAAATTGAATTCCATGAGATCTGCCTTAAAAGAGGATATTCACTCAGCTGTTTTAAAACTAAAATTGGAACTTACTGAAACTACGGATTTTTTAACTAAACAACAAAGCGATTTAAAGGACCAAATTAGTGGGGCTGAAAATAGAATTGTTGGTTTGGAGGCTGAAAAAACTAAAGTAGAATCTTGTCTGACTAGCTTAAATAATCGTATAGTATCATTGGAAAGATCATCAAGAAGCCGCAATCTGGAAATACATTTGGTACCTGAAAGAAGGAATGAAAACCTGTTAAGTTTATTTAAGAAGTTATGCGACATTATTAAAATATCTATTAGTGATTCTGAAGTGCATTCTATCAGAAGAATTGCTAAGTTGAATCCTTCAAACAATCGCCCTAGAAATATATTGGTAACGCTCCCATCCGAACGCCACCGTGACTGTATTCTGTCTGCTTTTAAGAGGAAAGGAAAGGCTAATAAGGAAAACAAATCCGCTACACTTAATTCGTCTCACCTTGATTTTACCGGTGACAAATCTGTCATTTATGTGTGTGAACATTTGTCTCCTGAGACAAAAGAACTTCATGCTGCAACGAGAAAAGCTGCCAAGGAACGGGATTATAAATACGTGTGGATAAAGTACGGTCGAATTTATACCAGAAAGAACGACACATCTCCTGCGATATACATAAAGGACACCTTATCCCTAAATAAGTTAATATAGTGTAGTTTTATATTTGTGTACTTCTATTACTATAAACAGATGGAAATATACTATCAAAATGTTAACCGTTTGAGATCTAAAACTAGTGATATTTACTTAAATGTTTTAAATTGTGGTTATGATTTTATATGTTTTACAGAAACTAATTTAAATTCTTCTGTATTTGATTCTGAATTGTTTGACTCGAGATATAACATATTTAGAAGGGACAGACAGTCCTCCTGTTCTAGCAAAGTTGACGGAGGTGGCGTGGCTGTGGCTGTAAAAAATCAATATAATGTTGTAAGGCGCGCTTCATGGGAGAGCAAGTATGAGGACATTTGGTTATCTATTTACTCTAAAGATAATGTATTTATTCTAAATGTATGTATATGTTATTTACCACCAGATCTTCATAGTAGTGATGTCAGGTGTTTTTACGAGAACTTAGAGAAGGTTGTATTGAATGGTCTTGGCAGGGAGGATGGATTTCTAATTATTGGTGATTTTAATACTCCAAATATTGCATGGTCGCCCGATTTGGATGGCTCGCTTAAGCCTGGCATCCTTTCGGACCTCAAATCTTGTTACTTGTCTGATGTTATGGCATTGTGTGGCTTGCGGCAGTTTAACGGGATTTCCAATCAAAACAATCGTTTGCTTGACTTGGTTCTTTCGACGGTCTCCATAGTAGTATCATCAGCTGCTGAACCATTGTCACGCATAGATGTTCATCACCCTCCACTTAAAATAGTACTAAGGAATCTAAAGATACCCAAATATATAAAAAGTAGACGCCATGAAAGGTTTAATTTTCATAAGTGTGATTATAAGGCATTGTGTTGTGATCTATTGCGAATAGAATGGAGTAAGATTTTATCGCCCATTGATGTGGACATTGCGGTATCATCTTTTCAAAATACGCTACTTGAATTGATATCTAAACATACTTTTAATAAAAGCTATGGGTAGCGATTATCCCTCATGGTATTCACCTGCTTTAGTCAAATGTCTTAAAGAAAAGGATAAATTTCACAGACGCTTTAAAAAATATTGTAATCCTCGTGATTATGACACGTTCACACTCTTACGTAAAAGATGTAAAGTGCTAATAAAGTCTAATTATACATCGTATATATCTTCAATTGAATCATCGCTTAAGGAAGACGTACGGGCTTTTTGGAAATTTGTTAACAATAAAAAGCGTTCCTGTGGCATTCCTCAGAACATGTATTTGGGGAATGCTACTGCTACAAGTACGAAGGATATCTGCGAGCTTTTCTCAAATTATTTTAGCTCAGTTTTTGAAAGGAATGCCGTAGTAGGAGATATTACGAGTTTCCAAACTCAGTATCGAGATAATAATCTCATCTCCCAAATTAAAATATCACCAGATGAAGTATTAAAAAAATTAAAACAACTTAATTCCAATAAGGGGGCAGGTCCAGATGGTATTCCCACTATTTTTGTAAAACGCTTTGCTGAAGAACTTTGCGTGCCTTTAGCAATCTTGTTTAATAAATCCTTAAACAGTGGCACTTTTCCATCAGCCTGGAAACTTGCTCATGTCATTCCTGTACATAAATCTGGAGATCCAAAGGACTGTGAAAACTATAGGCCCATTAGCATGCTCTCATGTATACCCAAGGTCTTTGAGTCTCTTGTTTATGATTATTTATACCATCACGTTAAATCTATGCTTTCAGAAGATCAACATGGTTTTGTCAAAAACAAATCGACTGTTACAAATCTTCTTGAATATAAAAATTACTTATGTAGAGAGTTCGGTCAATCAGGTCAAGTTGATGCTATTTATACAGACTTCAAAAAAGCCTTTGATAAAGTGAATCACGATCTATTGGTCCGCAAGCTTGCCGGCTACGGTATTCATGGAAGCCTTCTCAGATGGATCCAATCATATTTAAGTAATAGGAGTCAATTGGTTACTATAAAGGGAGTATCTTCTTCACCCATTTCTGTGTTATCCGGTGTGCCCCAAGGATCACATCTTGGCCCTTTATTTTTTATTATTTTTATAAATGATCTTGTAGATAAACTGAAATGCCCCCGGGCTCTATATGCGGATGATCTCAAGATCTTCTATGCCGTTAAAGATATTACTGACTGTCAATTTTTGCAAACCGACTTATACGTTATACAGAAATGGTGTAGAGAGAACTACATGTATCTCAATGTATCAAAATGTTTCGTGATCTCATTTACAAATAAAAAGAACAAACTAGTTTACAATTACGATCTTGACGGTCAGTTTATTACTAGGAGGATGGTGGTCAGAGATCTTGGCATAGAGTTTGATGAAAAGTTATCATTTAAAGAGCATTATAGTACATTAATTACGAAGTCATCTAAACTTCTTGGTTTTATTGCTAGAGAGAATCCCCATAGCCTTATTCTTTTGTTTAATGCTCTGGTACGAAGTATTCTTGAATACGGTTCTGTTATATGGTCACCTTGCTATAAATGTCATTCCGATAGAATTGAATCTGTTCAGCGAAAATTCTTAAAAATTCTAAGTTATCGTAATGGTTATGGGCGGGTTCTATCAAGTTATGAAAAAAGACTAGAAAAATTTAATGTGACTCTCTTATCTACAAGACGAAAACAGATCGACTTACTTACTTTACACAAAATAGTTCATTACCATATTCACTCGGCTTCTCTACTCTCTGCTTTGACCTTCAATATAAAAACTGTAACACGGAGTTCTAAAACATTTGCACTCTGCGTTTATAAGAACAATACATCGTATTATAACCCGCTTATCCGTATGTGTCGTACTTTTAATGAATTTTCAACTAAGTGTCCTCAAATTGATATCTTCAACTCACGTCTAAACAACTTTAAAAGCATTTTGCAATCGGCCATCGGGTCTCTTTGACATGTCCTTATTCTTTATGTGTTTTTATCGTTTGCATGTGCTTCGCTGTTTTTTGCCAATTTCATGTGCTTTCATTGTATAGCTTTGTAATTTGACATTGTATACCGACTGCTTTGGCCATGCTGTGCATACACGAGTCTGGGTCTCAATCTGGTTCGGTCTATTGTCTTTGTATAATGTCTATCATGTTATTGATTGTAGCCTGTTGTGTGTGCCTTTAATAAATAAATAAATAAATAAAAAACAAAATCTCTAGTAATTTATGGATGTCCCGGAAGAAATTTGTGATTTGTACGAAATAATAATTAAAGCCTTTTCAAGGCTTAAATTTATTTTTTTATAAAAAAAAATCAACAGAATTAAGTCAAAAAAGATTAATTATCAGGATTTGTCATACTAAAATGATCACGTGATTCCGCAGTGTGTATGAAAAGCTCAAAAATATTTTTGAAATATTATGCTTGTAACAGTTATTGGATTTTATAAATCGAAGTTTTAAAGAGGTTTCCTCAGGGTAGGCATCGCACGAGTAATGTGCCTGGTATTGCAGGCGTTCATAGACTGTGGTAACCGCTTACAGATGGTGTCAGATGATCAGTATGCTTGTTTGCCACCTCAGTAGTATAAAAAGCTTGGTTTTTCAGCTTGATACACACATAAAGGCTAAAATCTTATTTATAAATATTAAAACCGGTCACATCCATTTAAATTGTAAATTCGTCACAATAGAAAAAGACAAAATACTTCAATGGCTAAACTAAGTTTATAAGATCTTTAACTTTTTAAGCATAAGTATATATAATATAGTAATATATCTATATGGGAATCCACACAACAGTAAAAAAAAATAAAAGCAACAGGCAGTAGTTACCAGGTGTTCGGACTGCTGTCTCTCCACGTGGTGGGGCGAATGGGCAGCGGTAGTGCAGTCCACTTTCGCAGTTTTCCCGGGTGATGACACCACTGTCGTTGGGCGGCGTTTCTCGCGGCCCTGCGAAAAATATTTTTTTTTTTTATACAACTTAGAATGGCAAACAAGCTGACGGCCCACCTGATGTAAAGTGGTAACCGTCGCCTATAGACATGAGCAGTACCATGGACATAACAGAGTATGTCCATGTACTGTTTCGCCCATGATACCCCCATGCGTTACCATTCCTGAGGACTCAGGTGTTATTCCTCTGTACCCAGTAAATATTACATACAAATGGGGGCATAAGATCGTCCACGATAATATAGCACGCCGCTCCAAAAACCAAAGAATTGAAAATGTGTTTTTATATTACACGAATCCATCGTCTAACATAAAAAGCTATATAAAGCGAACTTACCGGATTAACTAATTCCGCACTCAAACCAAGGTACTGGTGTAGAGCCGTGAACGTGACTCGTTGAAGACGTACCATGATGATCTGAAAATAAACAATTGCTGTACAGTTTTTTTTTTTATTAATGATAAATGGAATGGCAACTCCGCCTGCGCTGTCAATATACGCTGGCGGGACTTCAATAAAGGAGGATAGATAAGCGTAAAGGCAAGTCAATTAAAGTAGAATAGAACAGAATAGGATAGGATAGAACAGAAAATATTTATTGCCAGAAAAATACATATTTACAATAGAAATTACAAAAAAAATATATAAATAAGAAGGTTTTCATATTAGGCAAATGCAACTGGCTCAGGTGATGCTGAGTGTCCCAGTGCAATGTGTACAGCTGAACAGTGCTGGTTTTCAGCCAATCCCTTTATTCAATTAATCATTGATAATCCAATTTACCAGAGAGAGACTATGTACAGTCGATTGCTTGGGTACTTCTGTCCCATTTGTGTTTCAACCGTGAAGCAGTTGTATTTACATGGCTGTGTTTCGGTTTGAAGGGTGGGATATGGCGTAAATTTACTGGGTACAGAGGAATAACACCTGAGTCCTCAGGAATGACAATGCATGGGGGGTATCATGGGCGAAACAGTATACTCTGTTATGTCCATGGTACTACTCATGTCTATAGACGACGGTTACCACTTTCCATCAAATGGACCACGTCAGCTTGTTTGCCATTCTAAGTTGTATAAAAAAAATAGCCCATCGTTATAAATTCCACACATTAGGTGAGCCGCAAGCTCATTTGCCTCCTGTGTTGTAAAAAAATAATTAAAATTAATCACAATTCACATACGCATATATAAAAAAGCAAACGCATATATAAAAGAAAAAAAAAGCATATATAAAAAAAAATTCCTATATGTTAATACAATTCGACAATTAAAATATGACAGTAGCCGCTGCAGTCTTAATAATAATAATAATAATTTATTTATTTGCTCGAAATGTGGTAATAATAATGGTCTTAAATATTATTGATCTACACATTTCGCCTTATCTAAAAGGCATGCAAATTTAGTATTATAATTTAGTGGCTTACGTATATTAATATCCTAGTAGGAGTCGATCTATAAATATTGGCAGTTGCACACATACAAGTACTAATGGTAGCAGAACAAAACAAATACAAATACAAACTAAACAAAAACAAATATATAACAAGTAAAAAACATAACAAATGGCATACAATACAACTGAAATACACATTTACATACATACATTTAATTTTTTTAAAAGTCATTTATTGAATAAAAATTGCATTCCAGTAACCGTTGCTTACCTGTATAACTCGAACGAATATATCAGGATACTCCCTGAAGACCTCTTGGAAGGCTCTCATTGGCAATTTAATCACTTGCGAGTCTTCTAGCGCTTTAGCATTCACTGTTTTGTACGGTTGAGAGTGACCCTGCAAAGAATAAAGGTGAATTATTGGTAACATGGCGAAAAGTGGCCTTCCCAGTGGTCCCAGCATAGAATATACCACCCCTTCCTTTCCCGTGGGTGTCGTAAGAAGCGACTAAAGAAGGGTAAAAGATGGGCAGCAGCGTCCCTCTTAAAATATATCTAAAGCGCTGACTGCAGTTGCCAATCCGCCTGCCAAGCGTGGCAACTGTTATCCCATCTATAAATATCTACTACTTTAAATAAATAATTTAAATATATAAACTCCTTTGTTAATTTACGTGTGTCATAAATGACTCAAATAAAGTGTTTATATACATACATACATATCTGTCACGCCTGTCTCCTATTAGGGTAGGCAAAAACAATGGAACTCCAAATGCTTCGATTCAAACAAACCTCTTTCGCTTCTTCCATATTTATCAATCTTTTCATACACGCTCGCCAGTTACGGGTACTTTTAATTTGGCCCTTCTTCAGCACGTCGCCTACTTGATCAACATACGTGTTTATCTATCTATCTATCCCCTAAGGGGGAGACTATGTTTAATAGTGGACAGTTAAAGGCTGATATGATGATGATGATGATGATGATGATGATGATGATGGCCAAAAGTGTGACTGGTCAAAATCAACTAACCCAGAAAACAAATTTACTGAGACAAATTTAAGAGAAATTATATAAAACTAGCTTATACCCGCGACTCCAATAGCGTCATAAAGAATATGTTCAGTCTACAATATGAAAACTAATGCTAATAATCTAAAGAACTAACAGTCCAACAGACACTAGCAGGGGGGGGGGAAGGTTTTGTTAGTAATCTATACTTATAATAAATCTGTAGAGGTCAATTCTATACATGAAATATATTTCCTAAATAACTAACAGGGGGTGATTAGTGATCGATATTGATGCCAAAAATGCAATCAGTAAAATTTTTGTCTCTTTGTCTGTATGTTTGTTATAGAAACAAAAACTACTCGACGGATTTTAACGAAATTTGGTACAATAATTCTTCATACTCCTGGGCAGGTTATAGTATACTTTTCATCACGCTACGATAAATAGAAGCAGAGCAGTGAAAGGAAATGTGTCTGTTACATGAAAACCACTTAACCGCAAGGAAGGACATAAGCTACTTATTTTACGAAAAACGACGGAAACGCGTAGCGAACGAAGTAGCGGGGAAGAGCTAGCAATATGACTACTATGACACTGATATGATGACCAAATTTTACGATATTAATATGGTCTTAACTACATATTTATAATATTAAAGGGGATAAATAAATCTTTATAATAAATCCCCTCCCCCCCAAATAGACAATACATAAACGAATCTTTCATTCGTAGAAACATTTTAGCTATCAATCCATGAGATGGCGACGTGCGCTATCTTATTCTTTCTCATGCGAACGCTAAGAGAAACGATTCTATTGATAGATTCGTTTGCACTTTGTGTAATAGACGGGGCAGATCCTAACAACGTTTTAACAATATCTAATATAGAATACAGAGAGTGAATTACCTCTGTTAGTCCGGTATGTCAGGTCGACATCCACGTGGTCCCCTGGAAACCATCGTGCTGAATTCCATGTGTATTCATCACGACGGACTAACTGACTTGCCTTTTCATTCTCACCTATCATCCCTCACTGGTGTCCCGCCAGCGTATACCGTTAGCGCAGGCGAGATTATCATTACATTATCATCCATTAAAGAAAAAGATTCCTTTGCTCCTTGTGGAGATGTGGCAGACCCTGACAATGCTTTAACGACATCTAACACTGAACACACCCCGTGATGGGGGCCAAGGGATTGTTAGTAATGGAGACTGAGATTCGTATGCTCAACCAGGTCGACCTGGGCCCCCTGGAAACTATCATGGTTAATTTCTGATGAATTCATCATGATGGCCTAACTGGCCTGTTTTCATTTTCATCTATCACCCTTCACTAGTGCTCTGCCAGCGTATCCCACTAAAGCGGGCGGGATTACCATTCCATTTTCACCCATAAAAAAAACACACACACACCGTGAGTACGTCGGTGAAGCTGAGCAGTGACGTCACGCTCTCGCCGGCGCGGACCACCTTGAGCGAGAGACTGCTGCCTTCCTGGTTCGTGATATACACGTTCACACGTCCCGTCTGCACCACGTACACGTTCTCGTCCGTATCGCCTGTAATACACATCAATCAATCATTACCATCTTCATATCCTTATCCCAATTTATTATTTGGGGTCTGCGTAATATGGTTTTATCCATATTGCTAAATGATTTATGTAACTTCTAGTTTTACGACCGGCCGCCTGCCAGACGTCAACCCTCTTTGGGAATGCATTCGTTGGTGGTTTCCGCCACCTACACTTTGGGGGTAAGGATTGAGGAACGCTGGAACGTTGGAAATGCGTGAATGCAATTAGTAAATGAGATACACATGAATTAATCAATTATTATTATTATTTAAGCCGTTAACTGTCCACTGCTGAACATAAGCCTTCCCCGTAAGGATAGTTTTGGCAGTAGTTGCCACGTTTGGCAGACGGGTTGGCAACCGCAGTTAAACTTTTAAAGATGTTTTAAGAGGGACGCTGCTGCCCATCCCACGCCCTCGCTTAGTCGAATCTTACGACACCCACGGGAAAAGGTGGCTGTAGGTATCAATCCAAGGTGTTACTACCGTGTTGGTGCCATTTTTTATCTTTTCAAAACTTCTCGTATATAGGGTAAGTACTTTATCTCCTAAACATTTTGTCATGTATCGGTGTGTTTATGTTTTGACAGAAATAGTTTTATAGCAGAGCAGTATATTTTTTTATACAACTTAGAATAGCAAACAAGCTGACGGTCCACCTGATGGAAAGTGGTGACCGTCGCCTATAGACATGAGCAGTACCATGGACATAACAGAGTATACTGTTTCGCCCATGATACCCTCCATGCGTTGCCATCCCTGAGGACTCAGGTGTTATTCCTCTGTACCCTATAAATTCACTGCCCTATCCCACCCTTCAAACCGAAACACAGCCATGCAAACAAAACTGCTTCACGGTTGAAACACGAATGGGACAGAGGTACCCAAGCAACGTCTTTGTACAGTCTCCCTCTGGTAAGATATACTTTAAACGTCATCATTTATCATTCATGAAGATAAAGAAAAATTCGATATAGGTCGATTGTGTATTGATTGCTTTTTTAGTCGTATTTAGGGACTTTGTACAAAAGTCGATTGCTTGGGTACCTCTGTCACATTCGTGTTTCAAACGTGAAGCAGTTGTGTTTGCATAAATGTGTTTCGGTTTGAAGGGTGGGATATAGCGTGAATTTACAGGGTACAGAGGAATAACACTCGAGTCCTCAGGAACGGCAACGCATGGGGGGTATCATGGGCGAAACAGTATACTCTGTTATGTCCATGGTATTGCTCACGTCTATAGGTGACGGTTACCACTTTCCATCAGGTGGGCCGTCAGCTTGTTTGCTATTCTAAGTTGTATAAAAAAAAAAAATAGAATCTGTATTCAAATTAAATCTAGACAACCTTGTTACTTTTTATTATCTAATCATATGGATCCGTGTAGTGACGGAGTAAAAATGTGTCATGTCTAGTACTCATCGTAATAATTGATTGAGACAAAGAACAATACATAAGTTAATAATCCGAATTGTGATATTTGTAACACATTAGATGATGTTCATCATATGATATCTGAATGTACGAAATATAAAACACAAAGGAAAGTATTGATACAGAAATATAGTCTCAATTTGACAGGGGATTGGTTTATTTTCAAATATACTCGCAGAACCACATTCCGGAATGGGAAAATCTTTAATTACTATATTTTTGTATCAATAATTCCCTTTATGAAAATAGACTACTAAGATATTATGTATTATTTATTTATGTATCAATGTTTTAAGTATGTGAGGTATTTTATAAAATTAGGGTATGGTGAGGCTGACATATCCTTATAGGATAAAAGCCTTTAAATAAAAAAGATAAATAAAAAAAGAACAATACGGGTGTATTTATACCAGAAGGATATCCCAAATAAAACGCTTGGTCCAAAAACTAGTCGAATAATCTCGATTAAAATACACGTAAATTACTAATTGTTTAATTCCACTAACATTAGTAGGTGTGTGTCTGCCAACACTCAAAGATAGACTACTATTATTATTACCAGACGTTCTATAACCTTCCATATTAGGCATCAATCTCCGACCGCCATTAAGTCCACGCACGTTTTGCGACACATGTTTCACCTCTAAACGAAGCATCTTCAGACAAATTAAATAGATCACTGCTCGGAGCCTAGTGTTAGTATTGTTCGGCGTTTTTTTTTTTTTTTTTTTTTTTGTTTTTGTTGTTCTCGGAGATTGATGTCTGACGTATCGAGAAGATAAATAGATATTCGTCAAGAGGAAATACTCCTTGTTGTTTTAACAATAGAGGTGAAATTAATTCCTTACCGACTTTAAATAGGAAAGCGCCGGCGGGTAGATTGAGGATCTCGGTGTGTTTGCACAGCATGAGGAACACTGGTTTCTCGAAGTGTCCGAACACCCTAATGCTGTGCAGCATGTACAAAGCGTCGGGGGGCACTCGATCGTCGCTCGTCAGATCTTCCTCCAGGTATTCTGCCGGTGGTTCCAACACCTGATACCAACAATAGAAGGGTCTTTATATATGTATAGGCACAGATAATACAATATTATAGGGGGGGAAAGGGATTGTTCGTAATGGAGATTGAGAATCCCATTGCTAATATACCCAACCAGGTCGACCTCCTCGCGGTTTCCCCTGGAAACTATCATGGTTAATTCCTGATGAATTCATCATGATGGGCTAACTGACCTGTTTTCATTCTCATCTATCACCCTTCACTGGTGCTCCGCCAGCGTATCTCGTTAGCACAGGCGGGGCTACCATAACATTTTCACCCATCAAAAAAAATTACTATACTAGTAGTATAGGTTTTAACACATATAACAAATTATATAGATAGAGTGTCTCCATACAAATGCTATGAGGAATCGCATACTACACCGCTGCATACGACCCCAACATACGGGGTGAATGTTGGTGTCTAACAGTTTCTCCCACCTCAGACTAACACTTAACAAAAACAACTGAAGTGGTTTTATGGGAGTACAAATTAATGGCATTTTAATTAATTTCAATGGGGAAAATTGCTTTGAGATATGAGCAATTTAACATACGAGGAAGGTTACGGAACGAAATAAACTCGCATGTCGAGGTACCACTGTATCACATAAATAAGGCATAAAGAAAAAATATAGACGAATTGTGAACTTCCTACTCTTAAAGTCGCTTTGAAATTATCCGTCTTTAATTTTAACAAAATTTTTATTGCACCATCATTATAAGAGAATCAATTTCAATTATACATTTTCTTTTTTAGTATTCAACCGATTTTGATATTCTTTTCGTATACGTTGCCATGTGTCCTCGGCATGGACAGGGCCACCTTTTCTTTTCCCATGGGTGTTGTAAGAGGTGACTAAGGGAATTTCATGGTCGAGGGATAAGCAGCGTTCCTCTTAAATCACCAAAGCCTAACTGCGGTTGCCAACACGTTTGCCAAGCGTGGCAACTACGGACAAAATCCCCGTTATGGGAAGGCCTATGTTCAGCACTGGATAGCTAATATGGATGGCTGATATTAAATGATACTTTCAATCGACAGCATTCACTCTCTTCTTGGACTCATATTTATTTTATCAAAACGTGAATTGACCATACAATTCATTGCAACATACTGGACGTACAAATAAATATCAGATACGTAATATATTTGTTAACTTGTACACACTTGTGACACTGCCAACAAATTGGGCAAATATTAACCATAAGAGTACGTTCAAGAAGAAACTTTATTCTTAAAAGCATAAGTGTTATAATTCTACAGATTCTTTTACAGATAACAAAGATCACGTAAAGTCGACCAATAAAAAATAATCGTGACCTTGCCCTTAACCTGTTACATAGTTTCGGAGCGATGTTTCTTTTGATCTTATATTGCTTCTATTTAATCGAATAGATCATTGTTTCTCAAACATTTTTACGCCGCGATCCAGGAAAAACCAAAAAGTTAAATGAAAAATTTTGCGAGCCCGTCACTATAAAATTATAATACTGAAAACAAAGTCCTTTCTTTTATACCACTAAGATGGCAAACAAGCATACGGCCCATCTGATGGTCAGCGATTACTGTAGCCTATGAACGCCTGCAATACCAGGGCTTTTACGTGCGCGTTGCCGACCCTGAAGAAACCTCTTTACTTTTCCCTATATCAACTTCTACCACATAACTGGAGGGAAAGTGATTGTTAGTAAAGCGCAGGACTATGAGTCCCATTGCTAGACAATATCTCTCACTCTGTTCAGAGCCGCCGGTTGGTTGAACGCAACAATGGACGCGACAGTGAGGAGGAGGACGTGGAGATTGTCGATACCGTCCTCTGCATCTGCAGCCATGCCCGCAACCTCCTAGCCGCGTATAGACTTGTCCTGGTGGATTAGTCCGGCGGGAGCGGAGATAAAGGAGGCAAAGGTTGTCCTGACAACCGCCTCCATGAAGGCCTCGACCAGCAAGGTGACTCGTTGTCCACGTGGTCCCGATCGTATGGAAACTATCGTGCTGAATTCCTGGTGTATTCATCACGATGGACTAACTGACCTGCCTTTTCATTTTCAGCTATCACCCCTTACTGGTGCCCCGCCAGTGTGTATCGTTAGCGCAGGTGGGGTAACCATTCCATTATCATCAATAAAAAAAAAACAATCCAAATTAATTGCTCATCCTCATCCGAAATACATAGTAGTCGTATTAGTAAAGTCGCACATCGCTTCTTTAAACGAAAATTTTGAGGTTTTATTTTCCACAATAGACTTCGACCCCTTTTAATAACAAACGCGACGCCCCCCCCCCTTTCCCCCCCAAGGGTCGCGACCCTTCAATTGAGAAACGATGGAATAGATGCACAAAATTGGCACAATCTAGATAGAAAGTTCAAAGACCTTTCCCCAAGTCTGACGCAAATCTTTAGGCATTCTTGTTATTAATAACTAACTGAGCAGACACACGACGTCCTGACCGAATTCCAATATTTTTTCTTTTCCTAAATACCAGAGGGAGAATTTGCGCAAAAGACGTCTACTTGGACATCTTTGTTCAACTCGTGTTTCTATCATAAAACAGCTGTTGTTATTATATGACGTTTCAACAGCTGTTAACCGTTGAACATAGCCTCCCCATAAGGGGAGTTTTGCCAGTAGGCGCTACGCTTGACAGACAGATTGGCAACTGCAGTATGGCTTTTTGTGATGTTTAAAGACGCTGCTGTTCATCCCTCCACCATAAGCTTCCTTAGTCGTCTCTTACGACACCCATGGGAAAGCAAAGTGGCCTATTCGATGGCGGGATCTACACGGCTAATATAAATGTGTATGACAATAGGGGAAAACAACGATTGTTAATTGTAATGGCGATTAGTAGCACCATTGCTAGCAAAATACTATATCAGGTCGACCTCCTCGTGGTTCCTTCTGGAAACCATCGTGATTGATTTATTGTTAGATTCGTCACGGTGGGCTAACTAACCTACTTCATCCTCACCCGTCATCCTTCACTGGCGCCCGACCAGTGTATACCGATAGCGCAAGCGGGGTTACCATTTCATTATCAACCATAAAAAAAGTATGACAATAAATTACAGAGTAAGGAGACATAACGTCTCTTTATACTCTGTAATAACCATGGCACAGATGGAAAGGAATTTTCAGTAATGGGGTCCAAAAGCCCTCTGGAAACTAACGTGCTTAATTATTGATAAATTGGTCACAGTGGGCCAACTGATTCTGCTTGCATCTTCACCTATCACCACTCACTGATGCCCCGCCAGCGTATACAGTTAGCGCAGGCGGGTCTACCATTTCATGTTCACCCACTAAAAAGAAATAACCATAGCCCTGGCCATTTTTGTACGCGACAGTTCCCACATCTCAACAGGTGTGCCACTAGCTTGTTTGCTAAAGTATCAGTATAAAAATACACATTTAAATTTCGAACCTTAAGTTGTTCAGGTGCAGATTCCTTTTTCAACTGTAGGAGTTTCCTGGCGAATCGCATGACGGCACGTCTCTTCCTACCCTGGCCGGAATTCGAGATGGACTTCACTTTTCTCAGCATCCTGCGCCCATAGAATAACATCTTGTCCCGTTTGCGGAATCGCTTCGCTGGCTCTCCGGCAGCGCCGGCTGCGCCTGCGCCTCCCGATAATTCTAATTATAAAAAAAAAAATATTAAATACGTATATTTAATATTACCCATTAACATTGGGAAGAAAAGCAGTGATAGGAATAAGGACCAACAATCCCATTGCCAGTAACATCAGGTTAGGTTGGCTTCCAAGCGATTCCCAATGGAAACCATCGTGGTTAATTCCAAGCGAATTATCACGATGAGCTAACTGCCCTGTCTCCATCTTCACCAATCATCGCACACTGGTACCTCAGCAAAGTATACCGATAGCGCAGGCAGGGTTACCATTGCATTTTCATCCATAAAAAGAACTTCATGGTCCTGCCTGCAAATCATCGTAGTTAATTTCTGCCGGATGAATGGGATGAACCCACTAATCTAATTTAATCCTCACCTATCACTGTCACCCCGCCAGCATATAACAAGAGCGATTCAGACGAAGTTACTATTCCACTTTTATTTCGTAAAAAAGCATTAATAGGCGAAGTTAACACCGAACAGTGTTCTCTACCAGTCAACCATTGGGCAAACCGAGAAATAAGTAGGCGGTGCATTATTTAATTGAGGAAATATAAAATAATACTTAATATATAAACATATAATTAGTCTAATATCAACATACACACGCTACATCGTCATAGTCGTAGAATACTGACGGATCTGACAAATATTACATATATAGATCCGTCAGTATTCTACGACTATGACGATATGGAGTTAATATTATTTAGTTTTTAGGGGGCATTTCTTTTGACCTCATATACAGATCAGTCCTAAACTCATTTAGTATTATTGTTATAAAAGCGTTCATAACTTTTTCTTATCAAAGTCTGGCAACATCGTAATTACCTAATCGTCAATTTCCAAAAACAATTTAAAGATTTCTCAATATTCCTGATACATTATTTAAAAAGTCCTCTATTAGACCACTAAAACATTAATCATAAAATACCTTTACCAGAGGGAGACTTTGTAAAAAAAGTCGTTTGCTTGGGTACCTCTGTCCCATTCGTGTTTCAACCGTAAAGCAGTTGTGTTTGCATGGCTGTGTTTCGGTTTGAAGGGTGGGATATGACAGTGAATTTAAAGGGTACAGAGGAATAACATCTGAGTCCTCAGGAATGGCAATGCATGGAGGATATCATGGACGAAACAGTATACTCTGTTATGTCCATGGTACTGCTCATGTCTATATGCGACGGTTACCACGTTCCATCAGATTGGCCGTCAGCTTGTTTGCCAGTCTGTTGTATAAAAAAAAAACAGTAATAATAAGTAGTGATGGGTAATATCTATTTATTGCGGTTACAATATCTAGATATTGGCGCAATAAAAGATATGCCCAATATATTATATTGAAATGAAGCACTCGACTGAAACAAATGGAGATACCCGATTAGTATAGGCGATATTGTAATGGGTGACCTTTTTTCCGCCGTCAATTTACATAGGACCCCAATATATATACCCCAATACTCATTACCTATCTCTCTAATTTGCTTTGACGTTTACTATGTGTGATTTATCTTGATCTATTTAGTATATTTATGTTTATGTATTATTATTTATGTTATATATGTATGTTTATGTACTGTAATCTTATTTTTATATTTAGAATATTTAGCATTTTGTTTGATCCCTTTTATGTATTTACTGTGTCTGACTTGCGCCATCTACCTTTCTCTCTGTACTTATCCATTCTTTATGCCAGGTTGTCTGTAAGAGATTGCTTTTAGCGATAAGGCCGCCTTTTGTATATGCACATTCTGTATAAATACTCCTTGTATACATCTCTACTGTGCGCAATAAAGAGTTTATTATTATTATTATTATATAGATATACTATATATTGGGTATGAGCATATATATAGAACCCAATAGATGTGATATACTATATTTACATTAGTTACCCTTTAGAACATGACTAATCAATATGTATTTTATCAGTGATGGATGGATGAATGATGATAATGTATAAAGCCGCGAATGTCAAACAATGCGTAATTTAATCATTATAATTACTCATCAATAATTAATAAGTTAATACTTAACACTAATCGATAATTCTAAACATATATACATAACCAAGTTTTAAACGACTTCCAAATATGCGACATACTATTTGCCTGTAATTTTTTTTTTTTTTTATAATAAATACTAAATTACGTATTTCTCAGTTTGCCCAATGGTTGACGGGCAGAGAACACCGTCCGGTGTTAAGTTCGCCAAATGTACATAGAATTTTACTGTGCATTAAAGTTTAAATAAATAAATTATTTTTAGAGCGTATTTTACGTGATATCTTCGTATGTTAAACGTATTTCATAAGTGGTTTTATTATTATTATTTCAGCCGTTAACTATCCACTGCTGGACATAAGTCTTTCCCATAAGGGAAGTTTTGCCAATAGTCACTACGCTTGGCAGGCGGGCTGGCAACCGCAGTTAGGCTTTTAGAGATATTTTAAGAGGGATGCTGCTGCCCATCCCTCACTCTCTCTTAGTCGCCTCTTACAACACCCATGAGAAAGAATGCTTTACTAGTCTATAATAAATTATAGGCGTCTTTTTGAAGAGACAAAACACAGACAGTATGAGGAAACCTCAAAAAAAAACCAAAGTCTATTTTACATACGCGAAGAAAAAACGGTGTAAAAAAGTTAAAAAAAAAAAACAATGCGACGTACACGTGGCGGTCGTGTACTACACGCCCAAAAAGTGAGAATGAACTGAAAGACCCCTGTGACCTATGACGTTGCTGTCGCGTTTCGTTTCATACATACGGTAACGAAATATATTCTATCGATAGATTCATATATTAGTATTATCTAGGGGTAGAGCAGTGTTTCCCAACCTTATTTGCGCCATGCCCCACTTGAACATTTCTAACATTTTTATGCCCCCATATATAATTTTTCCCGACAAAGTTTACTTGACGACACTAATCGCCCAGTTGATATTTTGGTACGTCAAACGAAATTATACCTAATAAATATTTACAGCATTTTTTTTTTTTATTTACTTTTTTTGTTAAATTTGGCACCGATATCTACTCGTAGCATTGCATTTAAACGGTCCGAAGCGGGTTAAAATCGCTTCGAGTTTTTTAATTGCCCCCCTGTGGGACATGGGCCCCACGTTGGGAAACACCGGGTTAGAGAAAACTAGTACATTGATGAAAAGAGAAAATATCTCTACGATTTTATAAATTTTAATTAAGCCAATACATGTGGCACTAATGATAATTATTGAACTCTGGCAGTCCGTCTAAACGTAGAACAGTTTGTAAGGAAAAAACCATCATCACCATCATTTTAACCATTATCCGTCCACTGCTGGACATAAGCCTCCCCCATAGACTGCCATAAAGAACGGTCCTGAGCCACCTGCATCCACTGATTCCCTGCAACGCGTTTCAGGTCGTTACTCCATCTAGTGGGAGGTCGTCCTACACTGCATTTATCCGTAGGGGAAAATAAAAATGGGAATTACACATTTTTCTAAGTAATTTTACCAATTTTCTCTTCATAATTGAATTTTAACGACTATTTCTGTTCTCCAATTTCGCGCTTAGCAACACATTGAGCGATTCTTTTTTATTTTTACAGATTACTAGCTTTTATCCCACTGCTTCGTACGTGTGGATTCCAGAAATAGAAAAACCACTGAAATAGAACACTTCTAGATGGCTTATCAGAATAAAACATACATCAGATTTTATGTTAATTCCATCAGAAACACAACTGTGCATCTAATTTGATGCATGTATTTGCATGATGGCAGAACAAACATACAGAGAGATAGACCAGACAAAATTAAAAAAAAAATATTTTGGCAACTATTGATCTTATTAAGACCTCTCATATTATTTTTTCTTAAAACTTACGGTAATAAGCGGCTAAAATGTCCGACATGAATAAATGATTTTTGAATTTTGAATTTTACACTTAACTGACCGTGACGGAACTCCCCGTCATGGTTGAAATCTTTGGAATTAAACTAAAAGTCTGATAAAAAGCTAAATACAAAGAAAAGTAATGTTTTGGTCATGAACGCTTTGTAATTCAAACGGTCGTGCACGTTGTGGTAGGAGGACGTACCTACCTAGTGCAATGACGTGTTTACTTGTCACCGGTCAGCAACGTTTGGATATGAAAGACGAGTTAACTTGTTAGCAAAGTGTCAGATTGTTATGATTACCTTTGGCGCGCCATCTTCTGTAGTAATAGAAACATACGACCAGTAAGGACACCAGTAGACACCCGCAGAACGACCACAGCAACTGAGAACAATAAATAAAATTACATATATAAAAATTTCTTTTTTATGCAACTTAAAATAGCAAACAACTGCACATGAGCAGTACTATGGACGTAACAGTATACTATTTCGCCCATAATACCCCCCATGCGTTACCATTCCTGAGGACTAAGGTGTTATTCCTCTATACCCTGTAAATTCACTGCCAAATAATACCCTTCAAACCGAAACAAAGTAATGCAAACACAACTGGTTTACGGTAGAAACACGAATAGGAGAGAGGTACCCAAGTAAACGACGTTAGTACAAAGTTTCCCTCTGGTATAAAATTTTATAATATTGATTTATTTTTCTTTTTTTTTATGCAACTTAGAATGGCAAACAAACTAATGGCCCATCTAATGGAAAATGGTAAACGTCGCTTATAGACACGAGCAGCACCATGGACATAACAGAGTATATTGTAACCGCTTACCATCAGATGGGCCGTATGCTTGTTCGCCACCTCAGTGGTATAAAAGAAAAAAAATATGTTTCGCCCATGATACCTCCCATGCGTTGCCATTCCTGAGGAATTTCTTACAAAACTTATAATCCAAACTAAGTTACAATTACTTTTTAAGCAGTAACAGAGGGAATGTGAAAGCTGGAGCCCGACTAGTCTGTGCATGGATAGGCTGTATCTCGGGAGGTTTCATAATATTTTTAATTTTTAATAATTAAAAATAGTTTGTGGTTTTGAAATAGAATGCATCACCCCTTCCTTTTCCATGGGTGTCGTAAGAGGTGACCAAGGGAATTTAATGATCGAGGGATAGACAGCAGCGTCCCTCTTAAAACATCACCAAAGCTTAACTGCAGTTGCCAAACTGCCAAATGTGGTAACTGCTGGCAACTAAATAATTAGAAGTACACCTATTCTACGGGACCTCAACATTTTTTTTTTTGCCAGAAAATGTTTCTTTGGAAAAAGTATTCTCGAAACACTACGCAAAAGAACAAAAACTTCAATGGTGACTAAACTTAAGACCAACATGGCAATAAATATAATTAGAAAAATAATTAAATATACATTACAAAAATAATTACCAAAATCCATTCAGAGTTAGCGAACATACCGCATAATAAGAAAAAAATATTATAAACTCTTCCTTTTAAATGTTATTTAAAAATCATCAAATTGTTTCATAGTTTTCATTTTAATTGAATTACTTAAAGGTTAATTAACTAACTGTAATTTATTTACTTATTTATTATATGCACAAGACAGCTTTGTAATAAAACAGTTTTAACTATAAACAATACAATACAAATACAATAGTCAATACAGACTATGACAAGTGGCAAGTGCCGATATAATCATTATACAAGCCTTTAACAGTCCACTGCTGAACATAAGCCTCCTTCTTGGAAGGTTTACGAGTAGTTGCCACGCTTGGCAGGCGGATTGGTAACAGCAGTCAGGCTTTGGAGATGTTTTAAGAAAGAAGCTGCTGTCTATCCCTCACCGTCCTTTATTCGGCTCTTACGACACTCATAGATTCTATCTAACTTCTTCTTCATCTTTTAACTCACACTTTTTAGATTAGAGAGCGTCAAAACACAATACAGACATATATAATCATTATCTACTCATATAATGATAAACAATCTATGTATATCGAGTCATTGAACTTTCACACAATAATTCAAGACTCTTCGGTGCAAACACATTGAAATAAAAAGTTAGAGGGTCGTGCCATGTTAACGTAGACAATCTATACGTGATTTAGAAAACACGTTTGCGTTGCATATAGATATCATCATCATTTCAGCCGTTATCCGTCCACCGCTGGACATAAGCCTCCCCCATAGACACCTGCATCCACTGACTCCCTGCAATGCATTTCAGGTCGTCACTCCAATCCAGGGGTCGTCCCGCACTGCGTTTGCCCGTACGGGGTCGCCACTCAAGAACCTTTCTTCCCAATCGGTTGTTGGTTCCTCGAGTTATGTGACCAGCCCATTGTTACTTCAGCTTGCTTATCCCTCGGGCTATGTCGGTTACTTTGGTTCTTTTGCGGATATCTTTGTTCACTACCGTGTTGCTTTTTTTTTTAACACAGGCCCTATTAATACTACTAAGATAGAAGTAACAGCTATTTTTTTTGTGGGGCAAAATCTACGTATAGTGACTGTTTTTCAAACTGGTATTACATGAATGCATGAAGGGTATCATAGGAACACAATACACACTGTTAAGTCCATGGTACTGTTCTTGTCTATAACCCCTTTTCATTTTTCATCATGCCTTACCACTTATCATCATGTGGGCCGTCAGCTTGTTTGCCATTCTAAGTTGCATAAAAAACATTCATTTGGTCAGTTTGGTGCTATCTCTTGTAAAGCACAATATACTTGTTATGAATAATATTGACTATTATGCGAATGATTGATTACATGATGCGTTTAAAACAAATGTTTACTTTAATATTAAACTACAGATATTATTATTATTTTTTTTACTGTATTATAAACAATAATGAATTATACTTAAGATTATGACGAGTAGAAAATAATATAATTTAAAAAAAAATAAATTTATTAATGATTCGATTTCTTTTCAAAAGTTACATCTAAAAACATTACAAATCTATAAGATATGTCATTTTAAAACATTAAAATATGAAAAAAAAAATTAAATAACAATTAATAAATTGTTTTTTATAGTTCACTAAATACGAATACAAGTAGTAAATACTTATTTATTTAGAAAAATCATCATAAAAGCTTCAAATCCTATAAAAAAAAGATCCCATAAAAATCAAATCAAATCCATAGTCTAATTAAAAAAAAATCATCTAGTCATAAAAAAAACATATTGGAATCGGTCAATCCGTTTGCGAGTTACGATATCACAAACACATACACAGAACACAGACAAAGGCTTCAAACTTATAACAGCCCTTTACGCTTCGATTTAATTAATATATCCACATAAATTGCATTCCAAATTCAAATTCTCATTTTAAAATCGAATTTAAAAAATATATTCATAGACTTGATCTTTTTTTTTTATCACTAAAGAAAACAAACCCACCACTGTATACAACATTCCGAACGAGGTCTACAGATTGGCAGTAATCACTTTGGCACGAGCACAAACGACCGTTTACGGTCGGGTATCACGCTACACTGATCAACACAAAGTCCTTGCGGCCTGTAACTTGCAACTAGTAGGCAAACCGTTGGCGCAAGCGGCATAATTGGGGAAATTGCGAAAAACGATCATTTCATGTATTTCCATAATGTTGGTCTATTTTTTTTCTCCCCTCCCCTCCTGCTGCTCTACCAATAGAGCAGCAGGAGGGGAGGGGAGAAAAAAAATAAAAATAAAAATGCGGTATACCCCAAGGTATACCGCATTTTTAAATACAAGTACATATAAGTTACGAGGTAGCAAATATTAAAAAATAAAAGAAATAAGAACGTCGTTCGTTTTAGTCGTTTGAAAAAAAAACCTATTTTTTTTCAAGCAAGACAAAGACGTGTGACTACCATTGATTAATTGATATATGAGAATCCATTGAATTAACTTCTAGTGTCGTTTAACATAAAATCCTGTATATTCTATTATTTTTCATTTGGCACAATTAATAAAGAATCTTTACAACACGAATATATTTAAAAATAAAACGGACAAAAGTAATAAAATGCAATCAACACAAAGACATTAATTTAACTATATAACCAGAGGGAGACTTTGTACAAAAGTCGATTGCTTGGGTACCTCTTCCCATTCGTGTTTCAACCGTGAAGCAGTTGTGTTTGCATGGCTGTGTTTGGGTTTGAAGGGTGAGATATGGCGTGAATTTACAGGGAAGATACAGAGAAATAACACCTTTTTTTTTACAACACGGGGCAAACGAGCATGCGGCTCACCTGATGGTAAGTGACTACCGCCGCCCATGGTCACCCACAACACCTACGGCATTGCAGGTGTGCTGCCGGCCTTTTAAAAAGGAATATGCTCTTTTCTTGAAGGTTATGTTGTCGTATCGGTTCGGAAATACTGCTGCTGGAAGTTGATTCCAAAGCGTTGCCATTCCTGAGTCTTCAGGAATGGCAACGCATGAAGAGTATCATGGGCGAAACTGTATACTCTGTTATGTTCATGGCACTGATCATGTCTATAGGCGAAGGTTACCACTTTCCTTCAGATGGGCCGCTTGTTTGCCATTCTAAGTTGTATAAAAAAATATATTTATTTTCAATCGACTTAAAAAAGAAGGAGGTTCTTAGTTAGGTTTTATTTCTTACTTAAGTTTTTTTTTAAGATTTTTTTATCCTTAACACTTACAGATTGATCCTAGAAAATTTTTATGAAAATCAGTGAAACAGTTTAGTTTTTATATCAAAAAAACTGATTTTGTCACAATTAAAGTCAGTTTTTTTTTTGTGTGACACTGTTATATATCATAATATTTTACTAACATATTTTTGTTTTGCTTTTAGCCATACTTTTAAGACTTATTCAAGCAAAAACTACGATAAACAGAGAATAATATAAAAAAAAATATCTGTAGATACCTAAACCTTTTTTTATTTTCAAGTAACTTTTAGCCCCACAGACTGTTTAAAATTTATTGATACTGATTAAAGCCGAAAGCCGAGAAAAGCTGAAAAAGGTATAAAAATATTGTAGATGGTAACACTTTTACTGCGGTGGGATTTAAGAGATTTTCGTTTGTTTGCTGTGTGGTAATAACATGAGGTAATCTTTGCATAGGTGGTTTGAGGTGTGTCGTCCACCAGTGTTTACAATACCAAGTAACTACCTAGTTAACACTGGATTAACCTTAAAATAGTTTACTTAAATTATAATTTAAGTTATTAATTACTTGTTAGTGATTTATTTTCAATAACTATTATTTACTAGGCGTACTCTGCGGCTCCAATCGAGTGAATCCAGTCATAACGTATCCTATATGGTAATTTAGTATATTGAGTTTGTACGTTTCAGTTTTGATTGTAATGTTTTAT